ATTCTGGGTAAATGATATGCAAGAAGAGGAGAAGAAAATAAATATGTAAAACATTTGGTGAATTAAGACAGCAACCGGTCAAATTTTTTGAATATTTTAGAATGTCTCCATCAACATTAATATATTATCCCAAATAAAATTAAACCTGGTATTGAAAAATATTCAAATTTTTCGGTATTGGGATCAGAGAAACAAACGTCTTGTCCCTAGCTATAGTGTCGTGGCTAGGAAATTGCACCCAGACATATAACGATGTCGGACGGGGCTACCCCGGTCCGTCATACCAGGCACCCTCTGGACTGTGGTACATGGACTGTGGTCATGTCTCGCGGGTACAGGGTGTGGGAGGGTCTTGGCTTAACCGCCTGGACCAAAAGGAGACAACCTCACCAAAAACCTAAATTCTACGATGGTGGGACCAGGTCAAAGGGATGCGTGGCTAGATAGAGGCCTAGCCATTACTGGCCTCAACCTTGGGGCATCAGGGGGCACCCCATTGTATTTACCCCTTACTTCTGCATGCGGGTCTCTGTAGAAGTGGACCGACTATCCCTAGCGACTCGTGGGAACACTATGAAATCTAGTATTAAAAACACCACCGGTGAAGCTGTGGGGAAGCCCCCTAGCGACACTGGGAACATTGCAAATGAAAGTTCCAAGGGACCAAATCCAAAGGAAACTACAGGAGGGGCGGCTGACACTTGCTTGGGATCATCCTCCACAAGTGGCACACAAGCTACCGCCTTCTCCAGCAAGGGTCGGGAGCCTACCTCTAGACTCAATAAGCGGCATAAGCTACCGTTTCGTCTACCCGGCCTGGGTCAACCAGGCGGGCTAGACGATCCTCTGAGAGTAGGTCTTAGCGGAGCAGAAGCACGTAGATACCTCCGACTGCTCCACGAAGGACTTGCTACACAGGAAGCAAAAGCGAAAACACTCCTCCGAAAAGGGGAGAGTAAAGAAACAACCTGATTCATCTCCATTAAAGGGTAAGAGAGGGAGCGAGAACCTCTCACCTCCTCTCCGGCAGGGACAGAAAAAAGCCGATGGAAAGCCGTCCAACACCGGGAGGCAAGCAGGGACGTATCACCAGCTTTGCCGCTATTGCTGGTCAAGTGAAAATGGCGGTGCTGCCAAAGGATTTACCAGGGGTTGCTCTGACCACCGACCAGCAAACGTCTCTAGAAGAGGCTATACTGGACGAAGTAGTGGCGATCGGATCGCAACACAACGATCTACAAAATGTGGGTCAGCTCCGTTTTGCGGAGATACACTTTTGGGTGGGCATGATCCTCATAGATTGTGTATCTCAAGAATCGGCGAATTGGTTGGTGGAAATCGCACCTAAGCTTAAAAATTGGCAAGGGCCGGAACTGGTTGCAGTAAAGGGAAAAAATATCTCTAAAGGGGCGGCCATAACGGTCTTTCTGCCGAGGAGCAAGGGGAAAGACACCACCTACTGCTGAGCCTTATCCAAGGTCAGCACTTCAATGAAAGGACATCGAGTTGGCGAGTCATCAACTCGAGGGAGGAGGGTCATGGCCAGGTCCTCAATAAGAATTGACCTCAAATCCAAGGGGGCAATAGAGAAAGAGGGACATATCCTCTATTATAGATACGGGACAACACCGGTATCAGGTCTAAGGAGAGACCAAGTTAAAGAGGTGGAGAAAATGGAGACAGATCCTCCAGCCTCCACCTCACGTGTTCCTCAGCCGGCGGCAAGCTCCTCGACTGTGAAGAGCGGCACGGAGGGCCAAACTCCAACCGTGGAAGGGTTTGTACCCTCGGAGGAAGAACTGTTGTCAGAGGAGGATGGGAAATACCCTGTTTTGTGTGATGACTTATGGAAGGGGGGCACAATAGATCTTTAAGGTCGCACTGATTAACCCCCCCCCCCTCTTATTCATTCTACATTCTAGATTTTATTTTGTAGATTTTGTTGCAGTGGCGAAATACCCATATAGAATTTTTTGGAGAGATTTTAAAAGAGATTTACCAGAAATGTCAACAAAGTAGATCCGAAACGAACTGAAGTGAGCGCGCGGTACGTAACCGACCGGAAATTTCGTTTCGCTACGGTTCGTTTCGTTTCTGACAAGTGCGCGACAAGCTTTACAAAATACACGGTGTCTCATCGACTTCGTCGGCCGCGGAGCGTATCCTGACCTGCGCAAGCGGTTTTACGACTGCAAGAGGTGGCGGCAACGGCAGCCGCGGTGACACCTCGTGTTTTTTGAAACTGGGTTGCACAATCGCCGTGCCGCGACGCCCCACCAAACCACACACGCAATATGTAACTTTTTCTACATTTTCTTCCTATAGCTTTATTTCTATATTTAATCATTTATTGCCAACATATATTTACCCTGTTTTTTCCTTATAAAAAGTTTTTTTCTATACAAAATCACCATTTGACCATCATATGTCTAATGGAAAAACATGCTGAATAGACATTATTTTTACTTTAGTAAATTCAATGAATAGAAATTCCATCTCGTTTTTAGGTAAAAAATTCAATTTGGAATGTGTATGTCCATATGGCAGCATCGAAGAAACACCCAATTAAAATCAAGAAGGAAAAGGTAGAAGAACAAATAATGTATCTGAATAGAACATTAACAGAGTTGGCTAAAATTAATAGAATGATTAAGAAAAAGGTAGTCAAGGGAAGATAGAAAACTTTCAAAAGAGAAATCACAGACAGAAAAAGAAAATGATAATAAATATCTATTTATTTGTAGGGAATATGAGAATAAAACAGTGTATCATAATATGTTGCAAAAATTATTGTTTTGCATAAACTAAAAAAATTAATTTTGAAAGTAAAAAACTACATCTAAGTTCCTTCAAAACGTGTGTGTTAACTATGCGCATTTTCATAACACACTCTCATTTTGATAGAATGCCTTATTGCTCAGTATGTATGTCTACAGAGTGTGCCTAAAAGTTCATAACAAATGATTTAGTGGATAATTATTTATTATTTTTTTTTCAGTGGCGAAATACCCATAAAGGATTTTTTTGGAAAAATGATTTTTATTACATAGTTTAAAAAATTTATGCAAAATTTCTTTCATTTTTTTTTAGTTCATATATTATTATATTTGTCATGCGATAACTGTGTGTCATGACCATCTCTTTTTAACTCTCATAAAAGTGTCAAACCATGTATGATTCTAAAAAATTGAGTTTTATGAATGGAGTGTTCTGTCTACCCATTTAGATGTCTTTGGTAATTTCCCTACTATAATTTAATTAGAAAACTAAAAATACTTTCAAAGGTATAATCCTGGCACAATCTATGTATATTAATTAAAGTTATATACCTATACAAATATTTAATTTAACGTTTCTATAGGTACCCAAAAAACTTTAATAACAATTTAACATTTGGAACTCAAACTGTATTCTATCACATACCGCGTAAATCTGTCATCATCGATTTTTTCGGTTCGAAAACACGGTTCGTGATCGCGATAAAATGTGTTTTGTCTCCCTTTATTTAGATGTCTTTGGTCATGGCGGCCAATAAGAGAGAGACAGGGGAGACGTTATTCTTGGTTTCTAATGGGGAGAACATTCCTATTCCTGACAAGTGAATGTTTGTGTGTTTTAGCTCTTACTCTACAATATAAATATGCCCAGAGAGAAGGATAAGGTGTTCCAAATACCTATTTGCTCACATTTTTTCTCCTTTTTGATCTAAATGTTCTCAGTATTTCGAAGTTTCTGGAGAATAATACGAAAAAACGAGAAAATTCAGAATACATTTTTAAAGTGTAACTGATTGATTTTCCAACCGATTTACTTTGCGCTAATTATTAATTCTCAACATTCGCCCGTTTATTCTCGATCGTTCTTGAGGAACATTCTCTAATATATATTCTCTTCAGCATTTTACAACAACGCCACCCTAGATCGGCCGCCACATAAGAATATTTGTTATAAGAAGCACGATTGGTAAAATGTATTGTGTTTCAAATATATTTGACGATTTAGTAGTTTAAATTCACTGTCATTTGCATTTTTTTTTCCTGACCAAAATTAAAAATCAGATCTGTTAATTAAAAATATTTATTATAAAAATACAGAAAAAATAAATTAATTATCGCAATATCTAAGTGAAAAGACGTTTTAGATTCAAATTTTTAATATAAGTATACCAAACATATAAATTAATTATTCTAACATATGCGTCCCTGTGACATTTACTCTAAAGGTGAATTTTTTGGTTTATTTCATATTTAAATAATATGATTAGATTGATGGCACGGCAGAAGCCGTATAACGAATGCATATAAATTCACTTTAAGTTGACTGCGCAGATTATATGCAATAAAACCAAAAAAAAAACGGTGTCAAGTTAGCTTGGAAATTACGACATTTACCATTTAACTAATGACAGCTATAAGCTATATTCATCTCCAGGCCAACTATGACGCCGTTTTGATATATGTATGGTATACATTTTATTATTGCGATATTGTGATAAAATATTCGTAATTCTAAAATAAAAACAGATAAAACTTAAAAATGTTTGTTTGAAAATACTAAACAATGGTGAATTTTAAAAGACCTTTTTGGCCTGGTAGTGACTTAAAATATTACACATGTAAAGTTTTAACATTAAAAATAATATCAGTACAAGAAGATATTTTACTTCAATACAAAATTACATTTTTACACCTTCACTTTTCAACATAATAATGTAGGACTAAAAATATTTGAAGGGTCCAGGGGAAAAACTTGATAAGCGCCAATTTCTTAATTTTAGAGTTTTACAATATTTTAGTAGGTCCTAACTGATCTCTACAAAATATATAAACTATGCAGGGCAATAAGTTGTTAAATCCTATGGTATATGCCTAGTAAAAATATAGTATACACGGAAAAAACCTGACAACCACCAGCAGCCTAGAGTTTTCCCGTCTTTTCCTGTAAAATTAGTAAAACGGCGCTTATCATGTTTTCTCCTGGACCCTTCATTTGTAATAAAATTATTTAATTGAGGCAATTTTTTAATTTAAATAAAACTAAAATTTATATAATTACTTTTTTCACAATCCAGTCTTTCAATCTATCGCTCATCTTTTTTTGTAAATATTTTACTGATGGTTCAAGGTCTTCTAAGTATTTTTTATACTCAGCATCAATTAAAATATTTTTTTCCGTCTGAATAGTGGTCCCTGCTCTATCTAAATTACAAAACCGCTTACTCGCTCTTGATTGTCTCTAAAATTAAAGTACTAATATTACCGACATTTAAATATTTTTATCATGTTGTTTTATCAATTTGGAATTATTCTACAGTATGTATTATTTATTCTACAGTGAGCTTTTTTATTATTAACATTTCAAGAAAAACGCATTCTTCAAAATTTTTTACTTTGTCTAAAATGACTAGTCATAAAATGTATTTACAAATCTTACCTCATTGTTCCTTTTAAATCTATCTTTAATATTATCTACATATTTGGCATAAGATAATGGCCCTTTTTCTGTGGAATAGTATAAACCTAAAATATCATATACTCTTTGGACTTGTCTTTTTCCAATTTTACACTTTTTGGCAATTTCAAACATTTGTCTCGAATCTGTTTCAAAGAAGTCAGTTTTATTTTCCAATAACTCTTTGTGTATTGTAAAACAATCATCAAGATCACGAATTTTCTGAAATTCTGTTGTGGGTCCTTCAACTAAAAAAAAACAATAAGAAAAATCTTAAAGATTTAATGCTTTATTGAGAGAAAATCTAGCATATAGGTAAAAAGAATATTTTCTTCTTTCTTTTTAAATTGTTTATGTACCTGTCATATCAACTACATTATTCATAGATCTTAAAGAGCTTGCGACTGTTTCATATAATGCAGTGCCTAATCCGTTTTTTTGGTGCGATGGCAAAATAAAAAACTGGCTTATTCTTGGTCTAATATTGTTTGGGAACGCATAAAATTTATAAACTGAACAAAAGCCTACTGGCGTGCGATATATTTTTCTAGTAATCGGATGCTCAAACTCTTCATATCTAAAAGATTATTATTTAACTTAAATCAACCTTATAAACTAGTTAAAAAGTCATATAATTACATGTAAAAAATAATCCATCTTTCATCATCAAGATCAATAAAATTAGCTGCATCAATAAACCAAACAATAAATGTCTCGAATCTTGAGTGAAACTCCTTAAAATCTTCACTGTCAATATTATTTTGTGTGATCTTATATGTAGGTTTAATGTGATGTTCGGGAAACCTGGTCACTACAAACAATACAAATAACAGACTTAAAAAAACTATAAAAAATAATGTAGCTTACGTTCGTTATTGCCTTGAAATGTCTTAATGATGTCTCCATATATTTGTTCATGGTTTTCATCATTAAGCATACCCAAAAAATCATCGTAACTACTTGTGAAGTTTCCAGGCAACCACGGATCTAATAATTTTACAATATTATCTGCTTTAATGTGACCACTTGCAATTTTTCCTGCACTCTTAACATCCAGATAACACTTGCAGGAATTATGTAGATAGTTTAGAGATATAGACAGAGATCGATATCCAAAAATAGATTCACTATAACAAGTAAATTAATAGTAACACCACAAAAAGTTGTTTTTATTCACACGCTTTATATATTATATTCACTACCTTTCGCCAAAAATTTGATGAGCCATTTCAGGTTTAAAAGTTATAGCATGGTTTGACTCCAGATCGTCCTCTTCATACACTAAAATTGGAAAACATTTTCACAATAAATAGTATGCCTATATTCTAATTTAATGACCTACCTAATTTAAAGTTTGTTACGTTCAAAGCTTCCTTTTTATAGACAGGCATTTCGGAATTTTCATTTAGATTGCCATTTGATGTACCTTCCCCAGACATAATTAAACTTGCACTAAACGACGTTATCTTTATATGAATTTATTTTACCAACACGAATTTTTTATATTCATTTACAAGCTAAATTCAATATTCTATATCAATAAAAAATTGATTTTGTTCTAAAATCTCTGTTAAAATGTTTCCTTGCAAAAGGCGCGAGAGAAATGACATTTGACATTAGTTTCAAATTTGTTGATTCTACTCTGTGGATGTCCAATACAAACAGGGATGGGTAAGTTAAAGACCACCAAAAGACCACTGCAAAAACCATATTTTCTACAATCTATGGTTTTCATTTTAAAACGCGCCTTTTTTCCAAAAAATATTGGGGTTTAAGAAAAGACCAGAGGGAAAGACTAAAATTAAGTTTAAGCTGCCTTTTCCCTTGAATAAATTAGAGAAGTTTAATTATTCCTCTATTCAAGGTCTATTCATATTATATCCAGGGTTCGGAAAACTACATGTTACTTTTAAAAACTACATAAACTACATTACATGTAGTTAATGTAGTTTATGTAACCTATGTATATGTAACTTTCAAATATCAAAGGTTTGAGGTGAGGTTATAATAAGTTGAAGCTTTAAAAAACACAATGTATTTAAGAAAATAGAAGAAATATGGCTTTAAATATAATATTCACACATCATATTATTTAGACCTCTCATACAAAGCACAATTATTCATAATATCAATACATAGTTTATTAACGTAGTTTTCATGTAGTTAATGAACGGGAAAAGACGTAGTTTTTGAAGAAAAACTACACGTAGTTAATCAGGTAAATTACGTCTTAATTAACTACTTCCGAACCCTGATTATATCCATACATTTGATCGATACCTTACCTTTGACCTTACTTTAAAAATCTCATAAGAACCCAAAATCTGTTTTTACAGGATATGGAGGGTAGCACAAGAGCACAAAAGAGAAATAAAAACCATAGAAAAACCTTTTATCATAGCACAATAATCAAAATAATTCTTGAAGATTTTGTCTTAAAAATCTTAAATAATCTTACAGTACAATAGACTATGAGATCTTTATTGAAATAGGCTATAAATATAATTTTTGCAATATATTCAATTTACAAGATTTTCATCAATGTCTGTCAACTTGTTATATTTTCTCGCTGAACTAACTATACTAATATAATTGAAAAGGGTTACTTAAATTTTAAAAAATAAAATACCAGATTAAGAAAAAAAATATTTATTTATATTACATATAATTAATAAATCAATATAAGTATTAAAACACTGTTATTCTAATATTCAAGTTGTAAAATGATGAAAATCTATAATATAATTTTTCAACTTTTTTATTTTATTGTTGTCAGTGTACAAATATTATTTTTTTTTACAACTTGAATAAAATTTTCCTAATTATTTCAAAATATTTACACTATAGTACATTATGTTTTATCTACCAAACAAGCAAATTTATATACAATCAACTAAAATTTTAACTTAAACAATAAAGAATTTGAAATTTAATAATAATTTAGTAGACTTTATGTAGGAGAAAACGCTATTGAAATAAAAACAAACCAGATTAAAAATATCATTGTACTTTTATAAAGAACAGCATATTACAAGAATACATTTTAAAATAACCAAACAATTGCATTGACAATTTTTGTTTGTTAATTTTCTAACTAAAATTACCTTCTCTAACTAAGCTACATAACTGTACTCCTCACTTGAATGGGGTGTTCTTTCAATATACTGTTTGTCTATAAGCGACTCAATGCATTTTTTAATCAACTGAACACTAGGAGCAAATGATACTTTTGACTGTGCATAGACCTGAAATAAATCATAAGTTGGAGTCAATTCATTCAATAAATTTTATTTATGTATAAAATACAGGGTGTCACAATATTCCGTAGACATAGAACTATTATGTATTTTTGGAATCAAAATAAGTTCATTGGATACAATTTACCTCTATACAAAAGTGCTTCGTTTGCCATCAAACTTTAAAAAAATAAACTACATTTTTTCAGATATTTTAAGAACCGTTTTTCCCATTTAAATGAGATTTTGAGTGTCTGTGTTTTACTAAATGCTTTAACATTTGACTTTCACAAAAATCAAGAAAATGTAAAGGAAGGGTGAAAACTACCCCCATCCCTACATAAATTTTTGTATAAATATTTTCCAACTCAACCGACGATCAATTTTTTTTTGTAAAATGGTCCTTCTAGTATTTGCCACATTTTTTTTCTCTTCTAAAAAAAAGGCCACCGCCCATTCTTTTTGAGGAAAAAAAATATTTTTTCCGAAGCTGACTCCCAAAAAATGTTTTTTGTCACATCAACATAATATGTTGGGGCGCATAAAATCTATTATGCTCTGATGGGGAAAATATGGAATATTATGTGAGCAAATTATATTTGACAATAAGCTTCATAAAAAGCTTAAAAAAATAATAAATTTTAAGTTAATTAACGTTTGGATTGGGTTTTTATTGATGCCCACTAACGGACAAACGAAGCGCTTTTAGATAAAGGTAAATTATGTGCAATTATCTTATTTTGATTAAAAAATACGTAGTTTTTCTATGTCCACGGAATATTGGAACTTCCTGTATATTTTGTACGTCTGCTTTGAAAAAATAAATTCTCCAAAAAATATGTTTCTCAAAAACTATGCAATGTGGCGTTTTTTTACAAGAGACAAGAAATGTAGTAAATGATAAGAGGAACCATTTAACGAAAAGAAAATCTGTCGTAAAATGTATGTAAGGGTGGGGGTAGTTTTCACTCTTCCTGTACCTTTTCTTGTGAAAGTCAAATGTTAAAGCACTTAGCAAAACATAGACACCCAAAATTTCAGTCAAATTGGAATAACGGTTCTTAAAATATCTGAAAAAATGTGTTTATTGTATTAAAGTTTCATGCCCTCTAACGGACAAACGAAGCACTTTTGCATAGAGGTAAATTGTGTCCAATGAACTTATTTTGATTCCAAAAATTCGTAGTAGTTCTATGTCCACGGAATATTGGGACACCCTGTATATAAAAATAAAAATAAAGGTATGGTATAAACTGATAATTTTAGAATTCCTCAAATAATACAATTTAGATTCTAACTAATTAATACAGGAACCACACTCGCACAATATACAATATGTTTTTATAATTTTATTTATAATGCTTTTAGAAATAATTAAAACAAAATCACAAATAATACAATAAATTAATTATAAAATAATTTAATTTACAAAAATATCACTTTTATACTTACTTCTTGTATGAGCAAATTGTGTTTAAGCACCTTTCTCGATTTCATTATTCTTACTATGGCAGCCTGAAGGTACATTTTTCTGTCTTCTTCTACAGAATTCATGGTTTGTTCAACTTCATGGGGCGTTTCTTTCTGAATGGCCGCGGTTATTCTGAATTTTGTCCGCTTATTTGAATAATCTAGATTTAAACGTAAATTTGTCTCCACTTCGTCAATTTCCTGAAATTGTTTTAGTTTAAACTTATAGTTGAAATATCATTTATAAATAGTCAACGTTCATAAATCATGAAGATTCGTTTTGAATACTTTACCTCAGTGTCCGCTAATAATAATTTTGAATCAACTAAGCTTACAGCGTGCCTTTTAAACTGTTCTGAATTTAATTGTAGAGTCTCTCTAATTTCCTTACACGATAAGGTATCTGACTTTTCAAAAAGCAGAAGAATTGCCATTTGGAAGGTTTGAACAGTGACGACATAAGGCTTTTTTAAATAACCTGAAATTAAATGTCTTAATAGGCATATAAAATAAAATGAGTTGTGACAGATTAAGTTTTCATATTATGGAGGAACATCATAATCAATAATAAAAAATTAAAATGGTGTTTTTGATATTAAAACAAGAATACCAGATGTAAAAAATAGATTAAATAAGTATGGAAAAAATATATTGTGCTTATTAATAACAATATTTTTTTACAAAAATCTTAAATGACATAATAGCTTAAGCTTTTGATTTTTATGCATCCTTTATCCGACTATACGATATGATTTCATTGGTTGAATTTAAAGACAGGTTAGAAAATTACGCAGTTTTTAAAAAAATCTTTCTCCGTTGACGGGCTGGAGTAAAAATTTACGGATGAAAAGTGGAGCGAAAACGCTATGACCAAGTGCCGTTGGACCATCGTTAACGGACACATGAAAATCAAGCTTTAAAAAGATAAAATATTAAATATTTCACTAATACATTAAAAACATAGCATGATCAAGTTTCATGGTGAAGCAGGCTTTGAATGATCAAAGTTCTCCTTATGGATAAAATCATCTAAAGCCATCTTGATCCTTTTTGGTCATAGATATTTGACCTATAATATTTTATCTCTAACCTTAATATACAGATCTGGCCATTGGAACTGCGTGGTCTGGATTTTAACGTGTAAGACAGTGATGTAGACAGCTTAATGGAAAATTAAATGTATTAAAAAGTTGGGTTCATACATTTCCTCTCTGCGGTATTGCCGGACTTTACATCAAAATTTCAAACCGCACAAGTAAGCGTTTATGAAAAATGTTGCATATAGGTTGGAACTTTATTTTTATTTTTCACTATTAATTACTCATTTTACTACAGTTGTCATAGATTACATTTAGCTTAGATATATTATCTTCATTTTAGTAGTATAAATAAAAGTTTTTAAAATAGTTTTTTTTTCTAAACACATTTTCCTACAAACGTAAAAACCGGCAACACTGTATGCCGCTTTTAATTTTGTCTCTTTGTCTGTCAACCGGTCATTTGTATTTATCTCTGTCGCATGCATTAAAATACAGACCACACAGATGAAGTGATCAAACCTAGTGATATATATTTGTTAATATCATAATTGTGAAAATAGACAGTATATAGGCTGTCCAACGAATACAATTTACATGTGAATAAAAATGAAGAGAGATTCTTCCTTTGCACAGATTTTCTATAAATTTTTGTGGATGATTTAAACTTAGCAAGTTACTAGATACCACCAATTAGTTACCTAGTAAACATTCTTTACAAATAAAATCACTTAATCTTTACAAATAAAATCACTGAGATAGGTAGATTTATAAATAATAAAGCCAACAAGCACAGCTAGCCTAGGCCTATTAAGGAGCGCGGAGCGCCGAACGGCTAGCTTGTATGCCAGAGCGTGCGTTTGCCTATGCTAGAGCGCGCGCGTTCTTTTTCCGACGGGTGTCGGTAAATCAAAAGGAGCGAACGGCGTGCATTTCGGCGGATATTGTACCGGACACTTGGAAGGGTCTCATTTAATTGTGGGCGTCCATCTGTGATTTTTATTTTTTGCCGAGTAGTCGACAATGGGTGACGCAGTTATTGACTGGGATCATGAAAAACATTAACTAATTTGTTTACACAAAGAAAAGATTTTATAATTTTAATTTTATTGTGGGTTAAGTGTGAATAGCTATGTAGCTAGACTTCGTCCATATAATTTCATTTTTGTTAATAAAGACCTTTATGATTATTTTTATTAAAAACCGGAATTATTATGGTATTCTGAAATTAAAAATTACTACTTACTAGGAAGTTTGACACCGGAAATGAAATTTTACCATTACATTTTTAGAAATAAATATACCGGGTGTTTCTGAAAAGTGGTCCATTTCTATCACTTTTTTAATTTTTTAGATAAAAAACGAGATTTGGTATGTTAGTATAGGACATAAATCAGAATTGATCGACGTTTTCATTTATTTTCGGTCACTACCTATTTCACTGGAAATTACAACTTTTGATTTAAATGGTACCCTCGGTATTTTTTACCGTATATGATAGAAAATGACATTCTAAATAGAATGATATATTATGTCAACTTTTGACATTTTCAATTTAAAAATTGCCGTAAATAAACGTAACGACAATTTTACTCCAAATACCAAGTATGTGGTACCAAATTATTCGTAAAAAATGCTTTTTCCAAATATGCTGAGCCAGCCTCGTACCATTTGAAAAATTTGAGTTATCATTAAAAATACGATTTGGGCATCTTTTAAGCGGCCATGAAAGGATATGAAAAAAAATTACACGATCAAGTATATGTTTCCAAAGTTCTTTGATTACAAATTAAGTTTTAACTCAGTCTTGGCACTCTAGATTGAAATTTAAAATGCTATTTTTATTTAATTGGAATTGTCTAAAATTGACGTATGGTATGCCATTCTATTCAGAATGTCATTTTTTGTCAAATAAAGTAAAAAAGTACTTAGGATACAATCTAAAAAATAGTCATTTCCGGTGAAACAGGAAGCGACCGAATGTAATTGAATACGTCAATCAATCCCGATTTATGTCATATACTAACAAACCAAATTTCGTTGTATTATCTGAAAAAAATAAAAAAGTAAAAAAGTGAGCCCCTTTTGAGAAACACCTGGTAGAATCGGCTGAAAATGAATACAGGTCTTAAAAATACACTATAAAGAATAATCTACCAAAAGACCCCTGTAACCCCTCCGCCTGCTAAATATTGATTCTTCAACGACAAAAGTTCTTAAACTGTTTACCGGTTAATTTATTTAATAAAATGCTTGCACTCGAAATCCGGGCACTCGAAAAAACAGCGACTACCTAAACGCATCCTAGATCTATAGAGCAAACTGGTTGTCGTATTCTTCCCCGCACCTCAGTCCTCGGGACCGATGTGATGGGTTGTGCCGTCGTTTACGACCTGCTGCTACGAGTATATAGTGTGAATTACCTATATATGTTCGCGAACGTTTTGTTCGAGTAGCTTGGACGCGGCTTAAGGTATATAAATTAATTATTAACAAATTTTTTTTATGATGACAGGAGCAATATATACTCCATGCAATTTTTAGTGTTTTTTATAATATGTTAAATAGTTTAAAATAAAATTTAAGCTATCCAACAATTAAATTAAATTTAACTTACCCAATTTTAATTCTGCTTGGCATAAATGATGAAGCCAAGTTAACTTCCTTCCATTAAATTTATTGTGATAAAAACTCTCAAACTACAAAATTAAATTATGTTTGTAAATTGTTTATGCAATTGGAAAAAAATTATGTATATCAAATTGATATTAATCCAGACTTACCATTTGGACGCTTTTTTCTAGTTGTTGGGGTAGAGCAAATGGCGTAACAATGGCTTGTCCCAAAGGCCAAGCACCCGCTTGTAACACATAAATTCCAAAATTAATACCTAATTCTATTTTATCTTTACTCAAGAATTCTTGGAATTTATTGTTGAGGTCAGCTGATACTGACATGTCCGTAAACATTCTGTGTAGTTTACTAGTGAACTCATACCCACATGCCTTGAAACCAAAACATATCTATTTATACATCCAAAGAAGGGTTGAAAAAACTCGTCTTTTTATGTGAAATGGCGTTAGCAGGTTTAAGACCAGGAAATAAAAAAAAAACTTTATTTAAAATAATTTATTATTATATACTCGTCTTTTTCAATGCTATTTTAAGCTAATAATAAGGTTTAATGTCCCAAAGACAAACTATTATGTGTAGTGTTGTTGAAATTGTACCCATATTATCAGGATAAGCTTCTAATGTTTAGATCAAAGTTCTTTATTTCTATAGATCTTTGCAACAAAATTGATAGTTTAGAAATTAACTTTTTTACAATGTATTGCGGTGCGGTAAAATAAAATTACTGAATTTAAATATTATTGATTTTCTTTGTTTTGTATCATGCTTAGTGTATTATACCCTGCTGGTCATCCAATTTATGTGGTCTGGATTTTAATGTGTGCGACAGAGAATAATATAAATGACCGGTTGACAGACAGACAGACAAAATCAAGTGTTGCCGGTTTTTTACGTTTGTAGAAAAATGTGCGTAAAAAATATAAGCTATTTTAAAAAAATTCATGTATACTACTGAAATGATGATAATATATCTAAACTAAATATAATATATTACAGCTGTAGTAAAATGAGTAACTAATAGTGAAAAATAAAGTTCCAACCCTAGATGCAACATTTTTCGTAAACGCCTACTTGTGCGGTTTGCAATTTTGATACAAAATCCGGCAAATGTATTAAAAAGAGATAAAAATCCGTTTTTATCTCTTTTTAATACATTTGATTTTCCATTAAGCTGTCTACATCACTGTCTTACACGTTAAAATCCAGACCGCACAGTTTCGATGACCAAATCGGTATACAGGGTCCGGCAATAGTGCGTCGGGCATCTGTAGCTCCTAGAATAAAAAACTTGGGAATTTTGTTTAAGTGCAAACCTAAAGTATGTACGATGATGTTTTTCAGTAAAATATTTTAACTTGGATTAAGTGAGTGGATTGGGATGATTTTTTTTAAACGGTATGTTAATTATTGACTTAACCTGTATATCATTGCATTTGTGGCTTCTTTTCATATCACTTTACATAATCTTAAGATATGAGTAAATATATTTCGATAGTGTCAGATATATTAATAAATAAATAAAAATATATATTTTTCAGCCTTTCGTAAAAATACTACTAAAAATCCAAGAACTGTTCCGAAATCAAGACTATATTTTAACTAGAAAAAATATGGTAATGGCAAATCATAATACAGGATGTTCAAAATTTTACGCCAAACTTTCTAAAATATAAATTTTCTTCGCTTTTTAAATGGAACACCCTGTATATTATTTTTTCAATAGATGGAGAATTAAAAAAATGATTTGTTATCGACGCCTATGAACATTATGATAGGCAGTCATTTTCACGCCGTGCCTGCACCCCGTGTCCGCTGATGTTTGCGAGTAGCGGAGTGGTAGGCTTTGGAAACAGTTGAATGTCGGAGATTGTTGATTTCGGCCAGAGAGAAGACATTGTTTGTCAAGCTAGTTAGAATTATATTTAAAATATCAATTTCTGTTAAATATATTAATCTCCCGATTACAGATTTTTTTTTATATTTAGAGTATTGCAAAATTTTTAAAGATTTCGCAGATATTCGCGGTTTTATATTTCATATGGCATTTTCCACACTAACTTTCTATCAAAGCCACCCAATGATTTTTCTCTCGTATTTTACCGTTGAAAGAACCATATGAAATAATACTACGTGTATCTGCGAAACCACTAAAAGTTTTGAAATACTTTAAATAAAAAAAATAATTTTTCAATTCTCCATCTAATAAAAGATACTATACAGGGTGTTCCATATAAAAAAACTGATTTTATATTTTACGCTTCGTCCTACGTGGGCGACAAAAGCGGGCGACACGGGTGATGCGAGCGACGCGACGTTATCAAAAAACGTTTTCTTATGAACAATAAATAATCTCTTATGAAACTTGTGAATTAGCTCTGTTATCTATGTTTATGAAAGTGTGCTGCGTTGCCGACGCAGGACGATTTCATAAGAAAACGTTGTTTGAAAAAACACGGGTCGGTCGAATCGACCGAATTCGCGCGCTTTTGTCGCCCACGTAGGACAAAGCGTTAGAAAGTATGGCGAAGAATTTTGAACACCCTGCATGATTTACAATTACGACATTTATAGCAAAGTAAATATAGACCATCTAAAGCAAAAACCTAATACAGGGTGCGTCTCAAAAGTGGCTCACCCCTATAACTTCATTATTTTTTCCGATAAAAAAAAACGATATTTGGTATGTTAGTATATAACATAAATAAGATTGAGATTGACATATTCAGTTGTTTTCTGTCACTTCCTGTTTCACTGGAAATGACTACAACTTTTGATTTTTAAATGGTACTCTCGGCTTTATTCGATAGAAAATAACAGTCTGAATCAGGGTTGGCATGATATATATCAAATGATTTAAATCATGATTTAAATGGGGATTTAAATCAAGTGATTTTTTTAATTTTATTCATGTGATTTAAATCAAAAAAAATATTTTATTGAAACTATATAATAAATCAAAAAATAACTGTAAAAGTTATAAAATGTGTCATAGAAAACTATAAAAATATTTCTATAACAGATAATAAATCGAAAAATAATTGTAAACGTTATAAAACTATATAAAAATAACTATTCATCAATTTAATTGTTGGACCGATTTTTGAACTAATTTCGTGTGAATTCATTAGACGGCTAAACGCAGGGATTTTAAAACCTATGTATAAGTGACAAAAATTCGCTGTTCGCATACATATCATTCGCAACGTCTAATGTAGAACTAGGTGCTTCTTATACAAGAACAGTTAACCTAATAGGACTGCTCATTCAGCCAAAAGTGTCCGCCAGGTGCATGCGAAAACTACTCGCTTTGTGACGTCATTGTAGCCCTTGTCATGATTATTAGTCCTTATCCGGCAACCAATAATACACACACGTGCATTATTGGTTACCGAATGCAAAACGTTCATTATTTAGTTTATTTATTTAAACACCTTATATGTATGCAGTATAGAAAATTAACTGTATAAATCGTATTAAATACTCGGATAATGCATTTTTAAGAACAGCAGGTCCCAGCATCACCTTTTGCAAGCATTCTTTTTAGAGTACTTCCATATTTTGCTTTAAAATAATTAATAAACAAAATCGTGGGCACTTAGTATGCACTGTGTCACAATCCACAACACAAAATGAACGTATTTATACACTCTATAGCTCTAAAAACTTTAAAGACACCTTTTTCACATTTAAAATTGACAAAATAATTATTTCAAAATTTCTCAGCTGTTATTTTTATAAGTTTACCATAGGCAACTAATAATACACACTATCATGACAAGGCCACGAAGGCTTTGACAAGGACTACAACGACGTCACAACTGTCAGCTGAAACGCGGGAAGAGGCGAACGTACGTCTTATGAGGATGAGCAATCCTATTAGTTTACCGTTCTTGCTTCTTATATAGAGACTATATCTTCATTCCCGAGAATCTACAATCGTTGTCAGAAAATATGTTGTTTTATATTTTTTTTTCAAAACGGTTGTATGTTTCCAAATTCCTACCAGTGGGGTATTTGACACTGATACTTGATCGAAATTTTTTTATGTAGACCTTATATAAATTATTGCTATTTTCAATTAAAGAGGAAATAATATGAACAAAATAAAGGATAATTCGTCGATTCTAAAAAAAGAAAGAAAAATCACTGTTCCAGTGTTTCCACGGTCAGTGCCAGTAGTAATATCGCAACTACTACTACTAATGCTACGACTGATCCGCGAGCAATGCCCATACCACTAAAGCCGCTACTAATGCCAAATTGTGCTATACTGCTAATGGCACTAATGCGATCGCTTTGTACACAACAATGCCATCGCGGTTTACACCTCGCATTAGTATATCACTGATTGGCAAATTGGAGGAAACCAAGAATGTTTTTCTCATTTTATCAGCAAAATCGCAAAAAGTCGCAGTATTTTATTTTACTGTATGAAAGCCCAATGTTTACTAAGTAAAACGTATATAGACAATATGCTGAATTCTTCGAAATGCGCAACTAAATCTCTAAGTATAATAAATGTCACAAATTTAATCAAATTTTCTGAATGCCTAACTTTTAGTTGCAAAAAAATCGTTAGTATAGAGAATATCAAAATAAATAATACGTTTTTGTAGAATACATACCTGTAGCTTGCTGAGCCATTTTCAATCAAAACGATAATATAAACGTAAAAAGAGCACAAGAACAACAACAATTTATAATTTTAAACATAAAATTTAGCCATTTACCTCTTATCTGTGAGAAGTAACAACTTTGACGTTTCGTTGAAACAAATGAATGCAACTAAATACACCCATAGCAACGCCATTCATGGCAGAGATGATTTAACTTATCATTTATCTTTTTTGGGAAATCTTAAACACATTTGCTTTTTCGAATTTCGATCACCTTTTTCATGCTAATACCCCACCGTGCGACATTTTGATCTGCAGAAGGTACTTTACACTTTGACATTAGATAATACATACTAATTTCATTCTCGACTTAAGACTATTTCCGAACAATAGTGTATTGTTTTATTAGGAGTAAAAATTATACTCTTTTGACGATACTGTACCTTTGAAGGACCATCGTAGCTATTCCGACGTTACAGGGAGCATAAAAACTATATTTTTACTCCAAATAGAACATACTATCTTTTTTAAACATTACAAATAATTTTTTAATTAATTTCAAACATTACAAATAATATAAACAGTAATCGAGCAACAATTTGTAGTCGTTGAATCTGACACTTACTATCAGTTTAATAATATATTTTTGTACTTTTGTGCTTAGGCGGAACAGTGCTTTACTTTTATGCCTAGGCGTTAAAATTAATACTTTTGAGACGTTTGAAAAAAAAATCCTTTTGATCTGAAGCGAACGACTTTTTTTTGTGGAATATATTGGTGACCGATGTGGAAAAATCACAACGCCCCGTAGAATTGTTAATGTTATCGGTATCGGGGTATAGATTTAGCCATTTAGGATAGGACTTTAATTGGAAATAAGTCCTAGTCATTTGGAAATCCGATTTAAATATTGTTTTGAATTAAAATAAAAAAAATCTGATTTAAATCAAAAAAATCTGATTTAAATTAAAAAAAATCTGATTTTTTGATTTTTTTTTAAATCATGATTTTTTTCAACCCTGGTCTGAATAGAATGACATCATATGTCAACTTTTGACATTTTCGAATATGGTTTATTTGAAACTGCAACATGCGATTGATAACGACAATTTGATTCGAAATACCAAATGTGTGGTACCAAATTATTCGTAAAAAATGCTTTTTCCAAATATGCTAATGAGCCACCCTCGTTCCATTTGAAAAAATTGAAATATGATAAAATTGAAGGAGGGAATTTAAAAATCAAAAGTTGTAGTAATTTCCGATGAAACAGAAAGTGACAGAAAACAACTGAATACAGCAATCAATCCCATTGATCAATCCTAATTTATGTCATATACTAAAACCTGACTAAAACCAAATCTCGTTATATATATATATATATATATATATATATATATATATATATATATATATATATATATATATATATATATATATATATATATATATATATATATATATATATCTAATAAAATAAATATCTCGTTATATATTATATATAATAAAAGTTATAGGGGTGAACTACTTTTGAGACGCACCCGGTATAGTTTTGATTTCATGACTATTCTTGCATTTCTAATAATTTTTTTAAGGTTGAAAATAAATATATTTTTCATTCATTAATTAATACAGTAGAACCCCGATTATCTGTCCGCGCTTTATCCGGGCGGTGGATTGTCCGTGCGGCATTTTAAATTGATCATCCGTGCCCGGATTATCCGTGTTTAATGGTCAGAGGTTAGCGCATGAACGCTGAATGCACCGTGGAAGCTCTGGTGGAAGCGTTCCTCTCGGGGAATCCCCCATTTATGTATTTTCTTATTTTTTACGTTAACTGTCTACCGGCTCATTAGTTAAACGTAAACAGACGCACAAAATTCAGCGTACCGGTGTTAATGAAAACCGTAAACGCAATGTTTTAACTATTGAGCAAAAAATAGAAATTTTGAAACAATTTGAAAATAACATAGGTGTTGCTGTGTTGGCTAAAACATATAACATTGAAAAACAAACGATTCATGACATTGTGAAGAAAAAAAAACGAATTACAGAGCTTTGTAGCTAAAGCTGACAAACTAAGGCTTTTAAAAATGCCAGTTGATTGTTATAATCAAAAGGCAGCTTGGATGGATCCAGTAATTTTTAAAAAATGGTTTTTCGAAAAATTTATACCCCAAGTTAAAGCTTATCTGAAAGAAAATAATCTTCCACCCAAGGCTGTACTGTTACTGGATAATGCGCCATCGCATCCTGATGTAGAGCAACTAAAGTCAGCAGATGGGAACATATTCGTAGCATATTTTCCTCCGAATGTAATTATTAATATTATAATAATATTGTCCAGCCGATGGATCATGAAAAGGCTTTATATATTATAGAGAGACCATGAAAAGGCTTCATAGGAAAGACCTTATGTTTCAGCTGTTGGGAGAATGTGACTTTATGGGATTTTGGAAACGTCTTAATTTGAAAGAGGCAATTTATGCTATAGCTCGCGCTTGGAGTGAGGTTAAAAAAACAATTAAAAAAAGCATTTTATAAAATAATGACCCTAGAAGATACAACAGATGAAGACGGTACTGAAGACGATAGTGACTTAAAGGAAGGGGAGCTATCGATCGAAACCATAGCATCTACAGCCTCGCAAATCAATGGTTTGAAAGAAATCGACCATGAAGAAATACAGGAATGGATAGAATGTGATCACGAAGAAACAGATTATCAGATCATGGATGACGATTATCTAAATAACAGGACTTCTGCAGAAAGTTCCGCCAAAAGTAGAGAATCAGGGGATGCAATAAATGTACTTATCCGATATTTTGAAGAACAGCCTGGAACTGATGGCATTCATGTGCTTCAGCTTGGAAAAACGAAGGAAATTATAAAGTGTAGAAGTTACGAAGCCCTAAAACAAACAAAAATTTGTGATTTTTTAAGTGATTTTTTCACATGCATTTATGTATATATATTATGTACTCGTACTATATAATACATAATAATATATATAATTTATTGTTTAATGTACGTTTCTAATGTATAGGTAAACATTACATATTATGTAGAAATAATAAAACTTTTATTTTTTGTTACATGTCTCCAACTCCCAGTGGATGACATACCAAGAATTTACAACTTTGAGAAACACCTCACTGTAGGATTGAGTAATAAAAAGGATTGGAAGAAAGAGACGCTTACTCAGCATATAAAACACCATACCATCATGTGGTATACGGATGCTTCCAAAACCAAAGCAGGGACAGGGATAGGAGTATTTGGGCCGAAAACTGAATACTCCGAACCAATGGACACCTACCCCAGTATCCTTCAGGCAGAAATTTGCGCTATCGAAAGATGCGTACAATTTATCTTAGATAGGAACTATCGAAAACAGGAAATTGCCATCCTATCCGATAGTCAAGCAGCACTTAACGCGATCAACTCAGTAACCATCAATTCGAAGTTGGTCAAAGAATGCCTGGAGAAGCTCAACAAATTAGGCAAAGAAAATAAAGTCCTCCTACTCTGGGTGCCTGCTCATCAAGGGATAGAAGGCAATGAAAAGCAAATGATCTAGCTAGAAAGGAGCGAACACTCCACTAACTGGACCAGAACCGTTTCTTTTTTCCAAACGGGAACCAACTGAAAGCGGAACTGAAGAATCTGGAAGACTCCATCCGTAACTTGGAATGGGTGTCCTCCAACGGTCTAAGACACTCGAAAAAGTTCCTTAGAACTTATGACCGAGAAAAATCAAAGGTTTTCCTTGATTTAAGTAAAAACAATCTTCGGATTGTCACGGGGTTTCTAACAGGACACTGTCTCCTCAACGAACACCTCAGTAGGCTGAAACTGAGAAACAACGGCGAATGCAGATTTTGTGGGGAAAATGGGGAAACACCAGAACACCTTATCACTGAGTGCGCCGAGACGACGACCATTCGTGCCATGAACCTTGGTACGTCTGATGTCGAGGATGGAGAGCTGGCCTCTGTGGAGCCGTCTCAGATACTGGCTTTTCTTAAAGCCCTGAGACTGCATGATGAGTTATAACTCGTTATAACTCAAGAAAGGGGAACACACAATAGATCTATAAGGTCGCGGTGATTAACTCCCCTCCTAAACATTCTACATTCTACATTTTGTTACATGTACATATGTTGGATCGCGTTTCTTTTGGTTTTACACATATACTATTTGTCGAAATAGATTTAAAAAAAATAAAAATAAGGTCTTTGAATTATCCGTGTTTTCGATTATTCGGCGAAGGCTTGGTCCCGGCTGGCCCGGATAATCGAGGTTCTACTGTATATCTAAAATAATCGAAATATATTTACTCATATCTTAGAACTATGTAAAGTGATCTGAAAGGAAGCCAAAAATGCAATAATATACAGGGCGTTCCGTTTAAAAAATCATCCCGATCCACTCACTTTTTTCAGCCACGCTATCCAAGTTAAAATATTTTCCTGAAATATATCCTTATACTTTAGGTTTGCACTTTAAACAAAATTCTCAAGTTTTTTATTCTATAAGCTACAGATGCCCGAGGCACTGTTGCTGGACCCTGCATACTTAGTGATTATTTAAAGATATCAAGTTCCACTGAGTTTGCAGAATGAGTGCTATCTGTTTTCTAGATATTATTGGTATAAAAGAAGACTCTTTAATATATAGTATACAAAATTTAATAATTGAGCACTCAGATTGTTGTGTTGAAACTTACTTGCTTTAGCCTATTGATCATAGCTTCTTCAGCGTCCATACTTTGCGTTTGTTGATGAATTAGTCTTTTTGCCAATGACCTTGAATAAAATTTCTGAAAAATATCTTTATCGTCTATATATTTGAATATTATTATGCTCTCTAACAGTTTTTCATCAACCTAGAAAAGTTTAAACATAATTCAAAAATATGTCCTAGTTTTATAAAGATATTGAAAAAAATACCTCCGATTCACTTATGCCCTTGCTGCTTTTTTTAAGCAAAGTATCGCAATATTTTGCCAGTAACTCTGGACTTCTGCAAGGTGCTCTACCATCATTAGCTCTATGGTTTATGACTGAATTACAGGCCTTGTCTAAAGCACCCATAAAATTTTGATCTGATTTAAAAACTTCTTGGATTAAAGACTTGTATTTTTTATAAACTGTTAATAGGTTTTCCACAAAATTTATGTGAATTGACTCTCCCTGAAGATTGTGTATAGCCTATAGATAAAAAAATAAAAAGATTAATACAATAGCTTCCAATATACCAGAAGATTTGGCCTGCAGTGTTTGCAGTCCAAAATACGAGATTTTTGGTACATGACAGGCCACGTCTGTTGGGTAAATCTGTAGGCCAAATCCTCTAGTAGTGTATAGGGGATATTGTGTATAATAATTTAATGAAACATACAGATAATCCTTGATTTTTGATATGATCAAATACAGTATCAACCAAAACAACTAAAGCATTTGGAACACTTTTAAGCAAATCATACATATTTGAAAGATCATTTTTCTTCTCATATTTAACCATATTGTTGCATTCACTATACAAAAATTGCAAGTGCTCAGCTACCATATGAAGTTCGCATCTATGAGCCACCTATAAAATTACCAAAATAAGAAAAATAGAAATCATTGTTTAGTATCCATACTTTAGGTAAGGAACTCGAATGTAAATATCTTCTTGCTCTGAATAGCTCTTCTTCTATTTTACCTTTAACTTTTTCCATATATAAACTGACATTTCTTTCTTGCAGAAGAAGTGCTGCATCTCTTTTAAAATGTTCACCACTAGCATTCAGAAAAGTCATTTCAAACAATTCTACATATAACTGTAGTTGTGCCTTCTTCCTGTAAGCTTGTACCTTCAACAAATATATAAATACAAAGTAGAAAAAGCAAAGAGTACTTAGATAATTGAGGTACCTCTACAAAGCTTAAGATAGTCCCCCTAACAGCTTCAATCGGAATTTTAGGTGGTTGACCAGCTCTATCCAAGTCAATAGCTTCAAGTAATAACTTGACTAATCTGTGACCCAAAGGAGTAATCATATTCGATTGCCATACTTGAAGGGCCAATTCACCTATTTCCATTTGATCGCCTAACATGTTAAAGATACATTTATAATAGCACAATACTATTTTTAACATATATACAGAGTGATCCAATCTTCCAAAAAATATTTTATAAATTTCAATTAAAAATTCTACTACATAATATATAAAAAAAACACTGAATCACTCTGTATATCTATCAGCATATTTTTATAAATATGCACTAATATTGTCTATCTATTTTTATCAAAATATTGGAGTGAAAATATTAAATAGGAAGCCATAGATTTTTTTTCAGAATATAGAGTTACCCTGTATTTATAAAATATGGAGAGTCCAGGGGATAAACTGGATAAGTGGCAATTTCTTAATTTTAGGATTTTACAATATTATAAGTCTAATTAGTACCCACAAAATGTATAAACTCCGCAGGACAATAAGTTCAATCCTATGATATATGCCTAGTAAAAATATAGAATACATGGAAAGAACTCAAAACCACCAACCATCCGGTGCTCTCCTGTAAAACTGATAAAATGGCACTTATCATGTTTTTCCCCTGGACCCTTCATATTTATACATATCCGTTTTTAAGTTAAATAAAACATTTTCTTGTTTTATTAAATTTACATAAATTGCATTATGTGGATCTGTTTTACATTTATTATACAGTTTTTGGTATACCCAGTTTTTTTCTAAATGTGATACATACCTTGAGTTGCAACATTGGGATCAATACTCCCATAAATTATTTCAGCATCTGACATTTTTTGGGTCTTAATGTGTTGTTGGTTCAAATACAGATATAAACTATGAAGGTACTGACTTCCAACAGAATACTATGTAAAAACTCTTATTCAGAATCTTAGATTCAGGCTTTTTAATTAACTTACTTGTGTCCAATATAAGAAATAGTTTTTAACTAAATTTTGCTCACCATCTTCTTGAACTCTCTCAAGTAGTTGGGCAACATGGTCAATTAAATACTGTTTTGTCTCAGCATATAACCTGTCAGCTAAAGGTTCTGGGTGCGCAACACATAAGGAATACACATCACTAAAAGATAAATAAAAAAACTTGAAATGTGTTTATATGTGTTATAAAGAATAAAAACAAAAAAGGTAGCGCCCTTATGTAAAATCACAGTATAAAGATGTAAGACTTCTTAGTTAATGATTCAAAGAATTCAAAAATAATAACTTACGAAAATCTATCATTCCAGACAGTTCTTGGAACATGATCTAAAGTTATTACTCCTCTAATAGTCTCTTTGATGGCCCCCCATGTGGCATTAAAATCTACTTGTCTTGGTTTTAATGACATGTTTATTGTGAATCAAGTCCAACTGTTTTACACAAAGAATGACAGTGCAATTTTTCTTCCTAAAAATAGAAAAATGTAAGCTTTTCTCGATTAAAATTCAAGACGTTGGAAACTGACAACTGTTTGTTATTTTAAAAATAACTTTTACCTTTTCAAATTGTTTCTGTATCCTTGAATTTACTGAGATTCTCTGTATATTTATTTGGGATACCAAATCATGTAATAAACATCTTTTAAAGAAATCTTAAATAAAAAAAATATATCCAAATTCAACCACCAAATAAATCGCTGTCAACGAAAAATAGAATTTATAAAAATGAGAATAACCCACTATTAATCTAAAATTTTTAGACTATTCGACGACATTTCTAACTGACAACCACAACTGACAACTGGCATATCAACTGGCATTTGCTGTCAAAAGTCAAAAGAGTTTAAGTAGGGTTGAAGTGGTTGAAGTAGGGTATGGCGGGTATGGCACGGACCATAGAATAATGTTAAGAGTTATAGCTGGCAAGCTGATGGCTATGGCGGATGAGTAAATTACAATTATTTACATCAAATTAGTGATGAGCGGTAAAAAATATTTAACATGTTAATATTTATAAATATGTTGGTAATGGTGTGGATCCGGTGGCTGACCTTGAGGGTGCAGCCACACTATCCTAAAAACGGCGTATCGGCGTAACGGCGTAACGACCTTGAATCGATTTCCAGTAATTCTATTGGCTGAAATTTTTGACAGATGAATTTGACAGATAAAATTTCTGACAGATGAATGTTTCAGCCAATAGAATTACTGGAAATCTATTCAAGGTCATTACGCCGTTACGCCGATACGCTGTTTTTAGGATAGTGTGGCTGCACCCTGAAACGAGTTTTTGCTGTATATAGTCATAGACACTACGCAGGCGCACATCTTCGATGTTGCCAGATTGCAAGTTATTTTGGAATTATTTTCAGTAGAAAACAAATATGTGCTTTTCAGTGTGTTTTGTCAATATATACAGTATGATCGAATAAACAGCGTCTAGTTGGCTAGGAAATGACGATTGAGGACATTTCCCATATAAAAGGATAGGATCTTCATTTCATAGTCATCGCTGACGCTATTTTTTTCAATCATAGTACGCGGTATATTATTTCTATTATTATTTTAATATTTCGCACAACACGTGAAACGTGAATGCTTATTATGTATTTTCATAGTCAATAAAATTAAATAGAAATAAAATTCTAGATTCCTATAATTAATCTAATTGCTCTAGATTATAATGCTACGTTTAAAAAGTGCTTTATTAAAAATTCGGGAAATTAAAAGGGATGTGTCCAAGTTTTTTCTTTTTTTTTTAATTTTTAAATGCTGTAGCTCCATGTCATGTTCATAATAGTTTTTTTAACATTCCATCAAAACTACGGAGGCCTTAAAAGGCATTTTAGCCTCCGTAATTAAAATTGTAGAATCAGCTTCAGCAACATTTACAGTTACCGTAAAATGGGGTGAATAGAAACAGTTTCGTAGGCTATTAGCGATATACCGGTTGATAAAAATGTGGTATTATTTTCCCGAATATTTTAAAACATGGGTCTTTGTTTGTTCTTTGCGTATACATATAATTTGATTTTTGAAAAATATGCATATAAATATTAAATAAAAATAACATTTGTGTTTCTATTCACCTGCTGTTCGGGAGAATAGAAACACACATTGATGTTAATGTTTTTATCTATTCTATTTCCAACAAGGTGATTAGAAACAGTAAATTATTACATATTTAAGTAGGTTTAACAATAATTAGCAAAACATATAGTATAACAACTTACATGTACCAGCTTATGTATTACTTTAAAAATAAATATTTTATTTATAAAGTTTTCGCGCCATACAAAATAGGTGATAAATCGATCTCACATTTATTGATCAGCTGATTGACAGAAACAGTGCTGCCACAGATAAAAATATAGTTTTTACATTTTATTGTGTATTACCACAGAATATCTAGCTACGCAACAGAAAAATACTCGAAATGATAGAGCTAAAATTGCACAAATAGAATACTAGATGGCGCGACAATATCATAATCAGAATAAAATTAGAAATTTTGAACTTTCGGTTTTGGATCGACGGCTCGTCGACGGCCTTATAGATCGGCTAAATACGCACAGTTGCCAGATTCAAAAAGACTTGAATTGGCATCCCATTCTTTTTATTGTGTATAATGCAGTATGCGTTTCTTTCTATTCTTCTTTTCTTGTCAGATACACTTATATTAATTATTCCTTTGGCTATTAAAAAGTTTTAAGTATATTATTACAAAACATATACATTTTTAATATACACTAACTTATAACGTTAACTAAGAAAATACCTTTAATTACCTTTAAAATTAATAATATACAGGGCGATTGATAGTGATATTTATTAATGCTGGAACGTTAGTAATGAAATATAAGTTTAATAATAATGGAAATAATTTATTAAAATGCAGTACAAAAAATGTTAACTGACTAAAAAATACTATAACAAATTACTTCCGTTTGCCACGTTATTTATATAGACCTAGGTAGATTTTAAAAAGTGACACAGATACAATTAATAATATATTAGTTCGGCATAAAAGTTGCTGTCACGACATCGAACAATAAATTAAAATTCGTAAAATAAATTAAAATTATAAAGATTTGTTTCTTTATAAAGAAACGCAAGTATACCAAATTTGGGCCCAATCGAACTCCAGGAAATGATATCATAATAGTGTACTATATTATGGTACCACTCGATATGCTTTAAGGTACCATAATATTGCAATGTCACCGAAGATCCGTAGTATACCAAATTTAAGAACAATCGAACGCCATGAAATGTATCGTAATATGGTACTACATTAAGGTACCACTTTATATACATCATAGTTCAATCATATTTCAATGTAACCGAAGATACGTAGTATACCAAGTTTGAGCCCAATCGAACGCCAGGAAATGGTATCGTAATATGGTACTATATTAAGATACCACTTTATATGCATCATAGTACCATCATATTACAATGTCACCGAAAATACGTAGTATACCAAGTTTAAGCCCTATTGCCGCCATGTACCTAATATTGCTATGTCATCAAATATGGTACTATAGAAAGTACCACTTAATATGCTCCTTGGTACCATGATATTACAATGTCACTGAAGATATAATATATCAAATTTAAGCCCAATCGAACGCCATGTATCGTAATATGGTACTATATTATAGTATCACTTGATATGCTTCATGGTACCATAATATTGTAATGTCATGAAAAATAGTATATATCAAATACCGTATGATACCGAAAAAAACGGCGTCCAGTTGGCTGCAAAAGGACGATCGATGACATTTCCCATATAAATTTTTATATAAAATGACAGCTATATTCATTTCATAGACATCGCTAACGCTGTTGTTTCCCGATTATACGATATGAACTTGATATGAACACAATCGAACGTCAGGAAGTGGTATCATAATAGTAGAACAATACTTATTATATTGTCGCCGAATTACAATGAAAATTCAGGATTCAATTATACAATCAAACGTCAGGAAGTGATTGTAATTTAGCTCATAAGATTTAATTCCAACTAACATGGTAAATTGAAAAAAACAGCTCTGCTCTATTTTAATATGTTTAAATGATGTAGCAAATTTGAAGGTAGGCTTTATCAGGAAGTATTACGATATGAATTACATTATGGCAACACTGCACAAAATTCTTTTAAATTTTGTTTGTAGAAAACTGTTTTCTTTTAAATTTATTGCCCTCTATTATGTAGTAGCGAAACTACCGCATCAAAATATCTGACTTTTGCTACCTACAATTTTATACATGTAACGAGGCTTCTGTTGCGTAGCTAGATATTCTGTGGTATTACCAATGATAGAAAAATTAGATATGTCGACTTTTTTTTACTTTGAATATTTTTAATAGTGATTTGATTTTTTTCAGAAATTTTGTTTCTATTCGCCACTATGTTTCTATTCACCCCATTTTACGGTACCTTGTTTAATTCTGCTTATACATATATTGCATTATTTTTTCTGCTACCTTACGATTTCTCTATTCTTACACCTAATTTATGTGATTTTCTTAGCATAATATGATTTATAGACCATATTTTTCCTAATGGAAGGATGGAATAGGATATGCAAAATTAAGATATTTTAACATTTATTTTCCAGACAAAGCATAATATAGTATTAAGATTAAATCATAACAAATATTATAAGAAAGATCTTAATATAAATCACAAACTAATTACAAACTATTCTTAATTTGGTCTTGTATAAACACAGGTATAAAACTAATAAGATCAAAACTCAACCTTCACCATATTGTGATTGGCATTATAGCAAACAAGAAATTACAGTAAATTAAGAAAAGAATGTCAAAGTACACGATATTAAATGCTGTAATGTATTCTTACACACAAACCATCTCCCTTCTAAAGAGAAAAAGATAAAACATAAAGCTTAATCTTATCAACACACTCTTCGATAAAATATATGTCTAAAATTGCTATTAATCCACTAACTTGATATTTTTAAGAAATTATGATACAAACATTATAATCAAAGTATATTATATTAGTAACATTATAGGTAAGATGTTACCTCTATCTCCCATTGACGTGTATTGTTCTATAAGACTCGTCATGGTAGTACCAATATGATCGAAAAAAACGGCGTCCAGTTGGCTTGGAAATGACGATCCATGCCATTCCCTGTATAATTTTACATATAAAATGACAGCGATCTTCATTTCATAGCCATCGTTGACGCCGTTTTTATTCGATCATACGGTATTTCAAAACATCAATACATATAATCAAAACTATTGTTGCCTGTAAATAACTAGAAATTAAATAACTTGAAAGAAATAAAATAATTCTAATAAGTTTAAAACGATTAAGAAAAAATCCGTACATGATAATTTTTAATTCTAATGTAAATATATAAATAAATGTTATTATTATTACAATTTTATATATTCATAATACTGTGATAATACTTTCATTTTACAATCTTCATTATCCTTCTTACCTTAATTTTGGATATCAAGATAAATCTGAAATTATAAAATTAATTATAGAATTTGTATTATAATTGATTAACACTAAAAAAAAAATTTTTCAACTGCAAATAATTCGAAAATAAACTGCAATTTGGCAACATCGACCATGTGCGCTTGTGTAGTATCGATGATCAAATGCAGCAAATATGGGCTTCAAGGTCAGCCACCGGATCCACACCTTTACCAATATGTTTTTATGGGACATGACAAGGGCTTAATAAGGTTCTAGAGGGTTCTATGGATCAAATGAACTACCTTGGAATACAGTTTATCTACTGCAGGCACAATATACCTCCCATCATATAATATAAGTTATATGTATATGATATACATCCAACCAAATCATCCGACTGCCAAAATGACTGCCAGGAGTGCCAGGGTACGGCCCATAAGTACGGCCTCTGTGGTCCTCCTTTGGGGCCTCTGACTATCTTCCGGCCGTGCCCTTGGGCCGTGTAAACAGCTGTTTTCTCTAAATATCAATAACAGAAAATTACAGATGTTTTCATAAACACGTTTGCAGATAAAGCTAATTTTGGGCGTTGAAACGAATTAAAAACTACAAAACCTACTTCGTTTACGATGTCTTCTCATTTACAAGGAGGAAGAGTAGATATTTCATTAGTCCAAACATATGCAAAAAATAATTTAATTTATTTGCTTGAAAAGTGTCCCGGATCTAAAGCTATAATTTGGGATAATTCCTTAGCAGGTTGAGAAAGAATATTAAATGTGTTTTATACAATTAATTTCATTTGATACATTTATAATTTTAGGACCTGTAGGTTTAATTGCACAATATGTATTATTAAGGGAACATCAAGTTAAGAAAATGTATCCTTTACGACCTACTCCATTACCAGAAACGGATGTTGACCACGTTATTTTCATTTCAAGGCCAAAATTGCATTTAATGGACTATATTGGTAATGCTCATAGACTAATTTTGTCTGTGTAATGTTTATTTTTTAATATTCAATTACTATTCCTGTTATTTAAGCTCGTAATGTACATGATGATAGAAGAAGTAAAAGTAATTCTAAAAAACAGTATCATCTGTTTTTTGTTCCTAAGAAAAGCTTGTTATGTGTGGAAGCTTTAAAACACAAGGGCATGCTAGGAGATGTTATTCTTATTGATGAATTTAAATGTCAGTTATTCCCATTTGATTCAGATGTAATGTCCATGGAGATAGCTGAAGTATTCAAGTACACATTACCTTTTACTATTAATTATTTTATTTTAACTTTGTATACTTATTTTAGAGAATATACTGTTGAAAATGATCCTACATATATTTATCAAACTGCACAAGCTATCATATTTATTCAGAAATTATATGGTTGTATACCTCATGTCTGTGGAAAAGGTAAGTAGGTAGTTAGTAATTTATTTAAATTTTTTTTTGCTTCAATATTTATTGAAGGCATTGCGGCTAAGCAAGTATGGGATTTGGTAAAAAGATTACAACGGGAAAAAAGTGTTGATGAAGAACTAAAAGTAAATCAAGTGTCATGTATAGATCAACTTTTGTTAATTGATCGATCTGTTGATTTAATTACACCTTTGGCAACACAACTAACTTATGAGGGTATAATATTGTTTTAATTCAATATGTTTTATGTAGAATTACTAAAAAATAAATTTACTTTAGGTCTTATAGATGAAATTTTTGGAATCAATAATTCAACTGCAAATTTTCCAATGGATAATTTTTTAAGTAGTGATGAAAGAAATACAGAATCTTTAACAGAGGGTAAAAAGCAAATTATTTTAAACTCAGGAGATAAACTTTTTTCTGACATAAGGGATAAAAATTTTAGTGCAGTAAGAATCTGCAATTATGTATGTTTATTTTGTATTATTCATATTCTCTAGGTTCCATCCCACTTGTCAAAACTGGCTAAAAGTATAAGTGCTCAAATTGAAAATACACAAGATAAATCTGTACAAGAAATGAAACTTTATGTCCAAAGATTACCCCAAATACTAGCAAATAAAAAGCAACTTGCAGATCATACTGCTATTGCAGAATGTATAAAGGAGTTTACAGATCAGTGTGATTTTATGAATAATTTAAAGGTAAATTTTAATTAGAATAATTTCAAAGTAAAAGTTGTTTATCAGTAATAAAGACATTTTTAGGCTGAACAAGAATTTCTTAGTTGTTTTGAAATTGATAAGTCAAGTCCATACATTGAAGACCTTATAGCCCAAGGCAAACCACTTTTACAAGTCCTAAGATTAATGTGTCTTCAGTGTATATGTTCTTCTGGTTTGAAATCAAAAATTATGGAGGGGTATAAAAGGGAATTAGTTCAAGTACAATTGCCATTAATTCAAAATACCTTGTTATTTATGTTTTGTATTTAGGTTTATGGTTTAGAAGCGTTAGTGGCCATAAGCAAATTAGAAAAAGTAGGTTTGTTAAAATTGCAATCTGGTACCAGACAATACACAGTTTTAAGGAAGGTGGGATACTTTTAAATAATAATTTATATTGTATTGTCCATCTCCTTTTTACAGACATTAAACTTAGTAGTAGAAGATACTTCAGAAATTAATCCAACTGATATATGTTATGTACATATTATTTATGCACCACTTAGTGTCCGTTTAGCTGAACAAGTTACAAAAAATGGCGGAATAAAAGACCTCCATGATGTATTGGGACTTTTACCAGGTACTACCTAGACAAAATATGTGAATATCTGACTCAAAGTCGGACATTTTTTGCAATTTATTATTTATAATATTTTAATGTACAGGGTGTAAATACTTGATTATGAAAATAACCAAGAGATTCTTTTTAAAATAATAGGTGTTCCTATAAAAGCTCTGTTGGTGTTTCCCACAAGTTATTTACTGATACAGTAGATTCTCGATTATCCGTACGTATCCGAGTTGATTTACACCGCCGTTGAAATCCGTATTAACCGAGCGACGCCGTATTATTCGAGCATCAGGCCTAATATATCGCGTAAATATGACAAATTACAGAGAATCCCAGAATTGCTAAAGCAACACAAACTGACTGTAGTTGTTCTTTTTTTTTGTCAAAATTATTAATAAAATATAACGTAGATAGTATTAAAAAAATTAACGTAGGTACTGGCATTTATTATTAAGTAATACATATTAAAAAATATATAAAAACCCAAATTTAAAAAATCCGACCCGCCAATTATCAGAGCTAGAGTACAGCCTACATTAGCTTGGATAATTGAGAGTCTACTGTATCAGCTTGTGTGCAATTAACACAGTCAATCTGGCACCTTTAACTCCCATCAAATTATCCCCTTTCTCATACTTTGCCAGTCATAAGTTATCCACCGGAAAAGCTAAAATAGTTGAGAAGCTAAAAAAAATTTGGATTCGATTTTCTGGCTGAACCGTGGAAACCACAGAAAATTTTATGGAAAAAAAAATTAAGAGAATTAAATTCTCTACATTTTCATCTCTAAGTAACAAATCTCTAAAACATACGGGGACAAAGTTAGAGGGCGCCAAAGTCACTCAAAAGCAGTTTTTTGCATTTTTCCGGGTGAAACCATTTTTTTACTGTCGCAAAGTTTTTAAATTTGAAGAGCAGAAAAAAAAACCTACCAAATTGATCTGTAACTTTTTGTTTACGTTCCACTGTTTACGAGATATAACTGTCAATGTCGCGGGCTGCTGCGCGAGTATTCGAGGACGCAGTTGCCGCTCGGCCTATTGTCGTGTCCTTCCCTCTGGTCCGCATTTACTGTTTTCATTCACGCAGTTGTGCAGCTCTGAACTGTTCAAGAACGCGATACTCTCACTCCATTCAATTAAGTCATAAAGTTCAGAACTGTTCCGCGCCATATGGAGTATGGAGGCACCAGGCTATCGCGCACAGCTCCTTTCAGAACCGTTCTGAGCTTGAAATTCGCGAATGGAGGACAGCAATTCCAGCACTAACTAGTCAATCAGCTGAGGGATTTCGGCAATATACAGTATGTCCCCGGATTGTCTTTACAAGAGGAAAAACTTTTTTATTATGACAGTTTGAGAGAAGTGCATTCTTCATAAAAATGTTTGCTTGGTCTAAAACGGTTTATCCCGTTTATACTTTTTCATTTACATACTTTCCAATTTTTTTTCTAGTCCTAAAAATTAAAACTCATATGGTAATATAACTTCGTTTTCATTTTTTGATAGATTGTTATTCATAGAATTTTAATTTACTCTAATAATATTTTTTGTTGTTTTAAAATGTTAAAGAAACACAATTTTTTTTAGTTCAATGCTACGGACAGGGTACAGGGTGATGATAGTCATCGGAAAATATGATACTGTAACAACAGCAAAGAATATGACGCTAATAAAAAAAAAATCAACCATATTTTCATGTTTTTCTTAATTTTCTTTAAAACGGTATGGAAATTGGGAAAAGTATAAACGGGATTGACTATTTTAGAACAAGCAAAACTTTTTATGAAGGATACATTTTTCTCAAAATGTCAATAATAAAACAGTTTTTCCTCTTGTAAAGACAATCCGGGGACATACTGTAGATGTGAGGGTTTTGAAGTAGTAAGCGATTTTTTCGTGTGCGGAGTAAAGACTTTGTCCCGGTATATTTTACAGCTTTGCTACTGAAAAATTAAATTGTAGAGAATTTAATTCTTCTTCATTTTTTGTCCTATAAAATTTTCTGTTTAGCCAGAAAATATAATTCAAAAATTTTTTAGTTTCTCAAAAACGCCACTTTCTTCAGCGCACTTAAAGAAATCTCAAAACGATCAGAGAATGTTATGACGATCCTCAGTTCTAGTGAACATTGTAATCCGCGTAAAGTGGTGAACATTGTAATCCGCATGAAAGTCGCATACATATTGTGGGAATGAATGCAATATGTACTTATATCTCTTAAACAGTCAAATGTAAAAAAAAGTAACACATCAATTTGATAAGTTTTTTTATGCTCTTTACTTTTAAAAACTTTGCGAGAGTAAAAAAATCGTTTCATCCGGAAAAATGCAAAGAACTGCTTTTGAGTGAGTTTGGCGCCCTCTAACTTTGTTCCCGTAGGTTTTAGAGGTTTGTTACTTAGAGATGAAAATGTAGAGAATTTAATTCTCTTCATTTTTTGTTCTATAAAATTTTCTCTGCGACCTACGGTTTAGCCAGAAAATCGAATCCAAAATTTTTTTGAGTTTATCAAAAACGGTGGGGTGGGGGGAATTTAAGCTTTTCTAGTGGACCACTTACGACTGGCAAAGTATGAGAGCGGGGTTAATTTGATGGGAGTCTAGACCTTTTTTGATTGTACTAAATACTATTACTATTATTATTTATTAATAAGCATTGTACATTGTGAGATAACTAGAGTATAATTATTCAAAATTGCTTATTAGGGCCAACAGTAGATGAATCACCAGAAGTACCATCTAATATGGTTCAAAATGCAGATTCCCCCAAAGTAGTTTTGGTCTTTTTTATAGGAGGATGTACATTTGCAGAGGTATTTATATTTTTGTAGTATTCTTGGCTAATGATATCATGAAACATATTCATTCCCTAGATTTCAGCATTGAGATTTTTATCTCAACAGGAGGATTCCAATGTTGAATTTGTAATAGCAACTACAAAACTAATTAATGGTGGTAGTTTTCTAAAATCTATAATAGAGTCATAAAACACATGTAAATTATTTTGTAACTTATCATAATGTACTCATATATTCAAAGTTTTATAAAGATATATAATTTATTCAATATAAAATATATACAGAGGGCATTTTTTTGAAAGTGCTACTTAAATAAATGCATTTCATTCTATGTTTATACCTTACATATTATATTATTTAATGTACATATCTATCTATGTAATGAATTATTTCAAACCCTACTTCAACCATAATTAAAATAATTATCATCCATTCTAAGCGTATGTGATGTTTATCACCTAGATGATGAGACAGTAGTTCGATTAGAGCTACACAGTGATTAATTTTTTCATTCATTACCTAAAAAAAATATCTAAAATACTGTATTTTCTTAGTCGGTGGCAATATACTTACTCTTGTGCGTTTAGTTATACCAAAATATACACAAACATGGTTATATAAATTTTCGAGCTTTTCATTTTCCCAGTAAAAGTCGGGAGTATCTAATATATCTGAACTTAAATTTAAATAGTGTCTTAAAGCAAATAACTCTCCATGTTTTCTAAGAACTTCCTCTCTCGAGAGTCTAATTTTCTTCCCTCTAAAGAAAAAAATATTAGTCATAATATAATGTAAATAAATCACTTACTTTTTTAGATCATCTGTAATTCCTTCAATCTGGTCAATATACTGTTGTAGGGATGCCTCCCAAATTCCAAGTTTTACAGATTGTAACATAGAATTTGAAAATGTATATTTTATCAAAGGAAGATCTTCAACTTCAGAGCATGTATTTATTAGAAAGTTTCCTTCTTTATCAAGGCCGCTTGGTTTCCTTGAAATATAAATATAGATGAAAATCTTAATTGATCCACATATTCTTACTCCGTGTCTTTATTATAAATATAATTCATTATTTCACTTTCTGACTGTATTAGTCTTTCTGAGTAACTGTCAATTTCATATTGTCTTAAGAAACGTAGTATATTACCACTTTCTAAATCTGTAATGTTCCATAATATTACACCACCATCTCTAAAGAAAAATATTTCCCTTGGTTCTTTTTCTACTCTATATTTTGCAATCTAGGGAAAAAATAATTGTAATTAAGCAGGGCGATAAGCAGATAATCCTTACAGCACGAATAACATTATTATCATTAGGAATTTGATGAGATTCATATAAATCTTGTTCCTTAAGCCCTTTGTTTAAATTTTCCAAGTCATATTCTTCTGCAGTTGCAAAAGCCATTACATGGAAAACTCCAGGAATAGGGCTTTCTTCTTCTAGGGATTTCTTTTTACGAACTGCTCTTTTTTTAAGCTGAATTGATGATATAGTATCATGGGTACTACTGGCCAAGTATTTTGAAAAAATTGTATTAATTTGTGGTAATCTTTTAGTGGTTTGAAAATGGTTTGTCCCCAAATTTATATTATGTATTTTTGTAGATAGCGGTCTGAAGCTTCCAAATATAATCTGACTCTTTTTTGTTATGTGAATGAGGATTTTATGAGAAAATTGGAAACTCATTTTTCTCTTGCTCGATTATTTTTCGGAAAAGGAAAATCACAGAAAAATAGGAGCGGTTAACTTCTCTGTCTTCTTCTTTTCTACTAATATTTGGTGGCGGCTTGAAGTACTGACGTTAGCCACGGTACTAAGTAGTTGAGTAGTTCAATCGTTGAATCAGCGGTGAATATACTCGTTTCATACATAGTATCAGCATAGCATGTATATGAATCTTTATATGAATCATAGACCCAAACATAGACCTACACAAGACCTACACCTACACAGAAATTGTGCGCGTTCAGGGACGGCTAGTGGCTGAGTAAGCGACTTCCATAAACGGTCTGTTTTTAAGGTTTTTACATACAAAAACGCTGACAAAAACGGTCATCCGCTGAGCAAAATTCTCAATGGTTTGTCAGCCGCTCTCTGAACGCGCATATTGTGCGTGTTCTTTAAAAATCCCATCGCGTTTCAGAAATAAAGAGAACACGCCCAACATCAGAGATATGGAATTTTATAAGATCTTAACTTTCTCTTAAGTATGGAACTGCTTTGAACTTTGACCATGTCTTGACCACAGATTATGCCTTGACTAACATTTTGGCGATTTTGGTCACGAGTATTTTATGGCCACGAGAGCCCAAAGGGTCCTGTCTCTGGGTCCTGTCCTGGGTGATATATTGGCTAGAATAATTGAAGGAGAAGAAATAAACCTTTTAAGACATAACCTTTAATTCTACTACCACCTGACATTTGAATTTTGGAATATTTTTTAATAGATTTAAAAAATGAGAATTTTTTCAGTTCTTTTTAGAAGAAAACATATGCCACCAGGTCATATTTGGCGTGGTAAAAACAAGCTGTATAAAGAAGTGAAGCAAGAAGATGTTCAGCTTTTAAAGAACAAATTTGAGATTGAAGAGAAAAACATGTTTTATTTGAGGCATTCTTTTATAACACCAGTAATATAACCAGGCATAGACCACGTCTATTTCGAGTGTTTCAAGCAAGTTCCACTTAAAGCTGGCTTCAATCTTGATCCTAATCTGCAACCGTTAATTTCACATTAAATGCAGGAAGATTTCATCTATATTATATTCAATTCAAAACCAGCTTCACTCAAGTTAGTCTCGGAAAAAGTAGGGTTGATAAAGGTTCAAGCGAGCTTTAAAAGTCAATAGTACATGTTTATATCAGTATTTAAAGCCAGCCATTCAAGTGTGTTTGAAATAATTCAAATAAATGTGGTCGTATTGTACTGTAATTTGACTAGCTATTTTTTTTTTGTTTAGGAACAATCTTCTGGACATGCTAGAGCTTTAGGAAAAAACGAGGAAAACTATATTAAAACTGTGAGGAAGGAGAGAAACTTTTATGAAAATGTAACAGTAGAATCACGATTAGCGCATTTACGAGTTAAGGAAGGTTGGGATTGACAGTTATGATACAATATGATCGAAAAAAAACGGCGTCAGCGATGGCTTTGAAATGAAGATTGTTGTCATTTTCTATGTAAAATTATATGGGAAATGTCATTGATCATCATTTCTAAGCCAACTGAACACTTGTGCTCTTTTGGCCATATGGTTTATAGACTTAAAGATGGTGTTAACTGATATTTATATATTGTAGTTTAGAGTTAAAATTAGGTAATTAAAACTGCAAAAATAACTTTTCAAAATATTTTATTATAAAAAAAAATAAATATATCTAGGGAAGAATGTTAAAATGGTTTTTATTCTTCAAGAATGCAATGTTTTATATATAATTTTGGTGCTTGTCTAACTTGGTGAACACTACTCCAGCAAAAGAAAGAATAAATGTTGTTTTTTGATCTCAGCCTAATTCAGCTTGGCTTCTTAGGACAATTTCTTAAGGATGATCTTGGGTATTTCATAACACATTTTATCATATTAGCATTATCTTTAGCATACATGGATTTTAAAATTGTATTGAGCAATATTTAAATCTACATATTACATACAGAAGACATATAAAGTGTCACAATAATAGTATAAGATAGAGTAGGTGAAATATTTTTGATTGTCAAGTATTGTGGGAAAATTAAGTTGTTTGTGAAATTTTTTTGAGACAATATCTTGACCCTCCAATAATTTAAGAGCTTATGCAAAGAAGCATATAGGACAGTTCTTACTACAGGAAAAATCAGTGCAATGTGCCACAAATTTTGTTATGCTTTGGTCAATATAACAATGTGAAAAATATCTGGTCTTAGTTCTTAAATTCTATGATGTATTTTAATTGAATATTTAAATATATTTTTAAGGAATTTAGCTACATTTTAAAGCTTTAATTTCCATTATTTCCTATTGATTCTAGGATTCTTAAATAAACGCTTCTATTGCTAATTTAATTCAGAACATATGGTCCCCTTCTGTTCAACTAAGAAAAAATATCACCAGATTATTTGGTAATTTTTTAAAATGATCTTTGTTAAAATAAATCGTTTCAGGTTTTGTTTAAAGAAGAAATGAAGTCGAAATTTATATATTTTAAAGAGACCAGTTTATTGAATATGGTTTTTAATAAATTCATTTATAACTACAGTATAGTATTTATCTATACTGTAGTAGTGATACAATTGTTTGCTTTTAGATATGTGGTGTTATACTTAATCTAAAAGCGCATTTGTTTATCTATTTTCACATAACCAAAATTGAAGCTAGAAATTTTGATCTTATTAAATGAAATTTTATCACATTTAAGTATATAACATTTATTTTAACTCATCATTTGTATCTCAGTTTATTTTAGTATTAAAAGCTACTTTAAACCATAATCAGGTTGAAGAGTGTGAGAATTCAACTCCCCAAATTCTGGAACTAAATGGACTAAAAAATTGAAGCAGTAGTCCAGTAAATGAAGGTTGAACCACGGCCCAATTCTTCGACCGGGACTTTTCAATCGGATTGTGCACCTTTTGGGCAGTTTTAGGGGAAAAATTGTAACATGGTGCTCGGCTCGAAAAATGGCTCCAAATGGCACAAAAATCAGTTTTTCGCAAATATCTGCCAAAATGTGCAATTTACAAAATTTTTCTTGGAATATGAAATGAAGCTTATGTAATTACCTACAAAAATAGTTCTTATCATTTTTTACGTAGAATTAGTAGGTATCGAGATATTCCGCCTCGAAGATCCCTGAATTTTCTCTCCAAGTCTTAACGCTCCGAAAGTAGATTTTATAAGCGTATCATTGAATAATAGGACAAATTGTTTAATAACTCGGCTAAAATTGAATATTTTTGGTGATTCAAAGTTCATTTAAAAGGTAGAATCAACAGCCATCACATTTTGGAACTTGTTTGAATTTTGTCATATTTTATGATAATAAAAAAACCGGCCAAATATTCCTTGGCCCAAAAATTTTCAGATTTTTACAAAGTTTCACAAATAATAACTTATTTGTCAAGATTTTTTAACAGTTGTTCTTAGAGTCTCTTTAAGCAACTCAGAAAGTTTGAATTGAAGTATTTGTTTAATCACATTTAATAAAAAACAAGTATTCGTGAGTGGCTTTTTCCGCTTTTTTGGGATTTCCGGAAAGTGTCTACAACCAAAAGAAAATTACATAATTACGAATAGTCGAATGTTTTTTTTTTAATAAGAACTTTACGAAATAAAGCGTCAGGATCATTTTTTAGCTAAGGACACAATCTTCCAATTATTGGCGATCATGAACATTATCTACATGTCATATTTCAGCCAATTTGGCAGAAACCCGTTCTTTGACCCTTTAGGGCTGTTTTTAATCCCTTTCTTGGGACTTCACGAAAAAAATGTGGACCTTTTTTGTAGATAATGACCTAAGCTTCACTTCTTATCCCAAGAAAAAAATTGTAAATTGCATATTTTCGCAGATATTTGCGAAAAACTGATGATTTTTAGGCTATTTGGAGCTATTTTGTCGTCCAAAGCTGGCCGAGCACGGTGTTACAATTTTCCCACTAAGCCCGCGGTTACATTGGACGCGGGTCCGTGCGTTTTTTATACGTGCGAGCTCTGACGCAATTTATTATATGCAAGAAGAAGAGAAGAAAATTAATATGTGAAACATTTCTTGAAGAAAACCATCAACCAGTCAAATTTTTTGAATATTTTAGGATGTCTCCATCAACATTAATATATCCCAAATAAAATTAAACCTAGTATTCAAAAATATTCAAATTTTACGGGAATGTATTGGGATCAGGGAAGAAAAATTGAACGCTCAGACGTGCACGTATTAAAAAATAAACCAGTTTGTTTTCATCCGACCAACGGAAATTGACGTACGTGCACGGACGCGCAAACTCCGATGCAATGTAACCGCCTCACTGTGGTCAATTTTTAAAAATTAACAGGAAAATATTAAAAAATCTGATGAAGCTAAGTGGCGTCAAAAACTCCATAAGTAGGCTTTGAAATAGTTGCTAAGAACATTTCATTAACAATTATGTCAAAGGTCGTTGCGAATTTACTGTTATTTTGATTGAAAATGTAGTATAAAGTTGACAAATTAAACTAAATAATTTCTTTGTAAATAATCTTGTTATTTGTACATGAATAAAGTTTTTAATTTGCGTATTCCGTGCAAAAAGTTATATGTCATTAATACTATCTAAAATAGAAAGAGCAATTGTTGTTGGTAAGTTTTTTGACATTAATGTTCTTCTGTTGAATATTAAATATGAGTAAATAATTTTGATATGGTTAGATTTTTTTTTAAATTATTAGAATATACATTTTTTTAATGAACTAGCAGAAAAAAGTCTTATGAGGTTTCAGTTTTAAATAAAGTTAAGTTGATAGTTAAACCATTAGACAACTTTACCAAACCTACAAATTTACCGTCCTAGTCCGTCTGTTAGGCCATTTTTAGGACGTATTGCCCATATTAAACGCTTGGAGGTTGTTGACTTTTTAAAAGCAACTGTTAGCAAAATCTGTAAGATCCATAGTATTATTCTTATAAAATGGTTATTTTTAAATATCTAACACATGCAAATGATCGCGACCAAAATCTATTTAAAATAAAAAATAAGGAAACTTTTCCAATTTTTTAATTATTATACACCCTGTATACGACCTGTTCTTATTAACTATATTATTAATGTAATTTTATGATACCTAACATATAAAATCGGATATAGTTATTAATCAAAGTTAAGTAATTTTCACTAATATTTTTTTCCGGCTAATTTGACAAAATTGACCACAGTGCGCCTGCGTAGATAGCATTTGTTTGTTTTTTGCTGCGTGCACGTCCGTGTACGTACAACCAAAACAACGCACGGACGCGCATCCAATGTAACCACGGGCTTACTACTCCCAAAAAGGTACACAATCCCCCTAAAAAGTCAAGGTCAACGAATTACGCCGCACTTGTTTTTTTTTGGCGGGGTTCTTTGATTATAAAAATACCCGATCACTGATGGTATATTTCATCACTTGTAAATTGATGTAATTCATGTTCATTACTTAAAATGATTAAATTAATTGATTCTGTAATTTTTTTCTCTTCAATGAAAAACAAATGTTTTCACTGGAGCTAAAATTAATAAAACAATTTGGAAATAAAGGAGATATCACTATTTGTAGTTTTATCATCTTTCTTCAATTCCAATCGCTTGATCGTGCATATTTTGATCACAATTTTTAGAAACTTTTGATTGTGTTTGATGTTTTACAATATTTTGTATTTTACTACTTAACTCAAATGGTAATCGAGAAGTGTCGTTAACTTTTATAATAGTTTCTGTGATTCCTAAATCATTTTTAGCTGTTACTAATTCGTTTGTGCAAGGTAGGTTCACAGTGTCAGGTTTCCTTTTACATTGATCAGGATGTTGCCTGACGGCTGGCCGGCTTCTACTTGTTCTTTTTGAATTGGAACTATTATCTTCGCCGTTAGGGTCAACATTAATTTCTTTAACTGCTTCGAGATTTGTATCGATAGATTTTTGTCTACTTTGTGCCCAGGTATAGGAGTCGGGTGCCGAATTTGAGCGTCCTGAACGTCCTATATGCTTTTTGGTTGCTCCTTCTGTAGTAGTATTTCTGCTTTCGGCCGTACCCAATGTTGTATCCCGGCGATGTAAGAAGGGATTCTGAAAAAAAAAACAGAATTTACCAGACAAGAATTTTAAAATATAACTTCTGGATTTAAATACTTATGGTAAATGTTCAATTTCGTTTTGTCTGGAGCTACTTCCACTACGTGTCGGTTTCTATACCCGAGACACAAAGGACTTTTTTCATTTTCATTTCAGTGAAATAAGTAAATCTAGATGTTTCTAAACTATCTGTCGTTACGATGATATTTTGTTAATTACATCTCGCTTTCTGTTAATATACGGGGTGGTCCGAACTGTATTCCGGAAACTTCAGCAGCATATTCTCCAGGTAAAAATAAGTAAAAATGTTCGTGTAAATGTATGTCCTAAAATGCTTAGTTTCGGAAATACAGGGTGTAGAAGTTTCATTTTTATTTCGATTTTTTCCAAATATAATTTCTGAAGTAACGTCAATATTTGGATGAAAATTGGTGTCTGGGAGTTTTTTGACTTGAGAAATTTTATTTTGATGTCAGTATGACTCCTACTTATGAAAATAACTTTTCGTCCGTGCCTGTATAAAACTACTGAGTGAAAAAATATACATTTTTGTGATTCTTTACGTAAAAAATGTTTCTTGGTAAAAATCGCTACGAGCAACCGTTCTCAAGATATTTAGAATGGTAATAGTCAATACATGTCATTATTGACAAAAAATAAACATTTTGAGTAGATGAATGATAAATTTGGGAACTTTTAATTTTTTTAAATTAATCATAAATTTTTCTTCGAAAAAAATGTTATAAAACTTTCTGTTGAACTTTTGGCACAAAAACATTTTAAATTTATGATATCAGACTCAGTGGTCAAGCTATGGGGGGTTATGGGGGGTGAGGCTCTCCCCCCAAAAAAAAGTTCTAGCGTCACCACTGTTCAGTCTGGTTCAGTCTAATAACTATTTAATCAACATGTTTAATAATTCATGTCAATGATGACAGGTATTGATAATCTAAATTTCAAATATCTCACGAAGAACCATTATTCGTAGCGCTTTTTACCAAGAGACCTTTTTTTACGTAAAAAACGTCGTAAATGTACATATCTTTACTCAGCAGTATACAGGTACGGACGAAAAGTTATTACTCTAAAACAGTTAAATGTAGGTGGCGCCCCCTACAAATAGGAGTCATATTGACATCAAAATAAAATTTCTCATGACGTTATAATTAAGTTCTTATTGACGTTACTTTAGAAATTATTTCGAAAAAATCGAAATAAAAATAAAACTTTTACACCCTGTATTTCTCAAACTAAGCATTTTAGGATATACATTTATAGGAACTTTTTTACTTATTTTTATCTGAAGAATATGCTACCGAAGTCTCCGGAATACAGTTCGGACCACCCTGTATATTCCACAAGATTAATATTTGGACATGCGTTTATAATATATATAGCAGATATTTAATAACAAAACTTTTCACTTAATCTGCAGAAATATAATTACAATATTTCTATTATTTATAATTTTATTATAAGGAATGAGTATATAAAATTGTATATGTTATGTTTGTTTACGGCCTTATTGATTAATATAACAGTAGTATTGATTGATGAGTTATACTGGCAAAATCATTAATATATTGAGCTGATTGGGAAAATTATTGATTGACCCGATGTCGATCAAAGTATGGTGCACGGACATTTTGAAAAACCAATGTTCTCTTATTGTTTTTAGGATGTAACTGTAAACGATTCTTATGTTAGCACACAGCATGATTTGATATAAATTATAAATCTCTTCAGAAATAAGAAATAATTCGACGATTTTTAAATAGCTTAACACTGTAGATTATAAGCCGATAAAAGGCGGATAGCCAAAACAATCAGTCACTGTTGCCCTGCAGTTTTACGATTTTAAGTTTTGGGAATATTTTTTTTACTATATGTATTGTAATTAATATTAGACAATGATTAAAACTAATATACTTATAGGAATAGCCAATTTAATGGAATAGCCATCGTTAACTGTTTTCTAAACGTACTGTTTTTGCAGTAGTAATAAAATAGTAAAAAAAGTAGTAAATAGTTTTGCACTGTTTTGATTTTTCATATCAGTTTAAACATAGTGGTATTACATATTACACTTCATTACAAACTATAATGACATTTATTCATACGCCGTGTTTACTTATTCTGCTGAAGCCACCACAGAGTTTGACCGTGATTGCTTCGCGAAGTAGTACGAAGAATATAGACGCCTGTTATAAAAGTTTTGTCGAAACGTTTCTCCAAACATTTCCCGGGATTATTCTAATAACAATGAAAAACAAACAACCATTCCCTGCTTTTCGCGGTCGATTTCGATCTGTCTCGGAGTTTGCGGCCGAGATAAGCCGCAACATAAGAAAAGATTGAGTTTACTTCTGAAAGTATTTCACGAAATATTTCTGGAAATATTTCGTGAAACATTTCGGGCATAGTAAAAAGTTCCAAGTTATGAGCTGTATAAAAAATAAACTTAGCAACATAACATAAATAATCGAGTAAATAATTGACATTTTATTCTTATAATCGGTGTGACAAAGAATTCAGGAAAAAAAATATAATTGGTGCAATAGAAATTATAGTCGGTTCACAAAAAAGAATTCACCACTATTTAAAATGATATACTCTACATCAATATCATTCTTTGTATGGACAAACTATATCTCTAATTTCTTTTATGCATCAGGCTAAATTGAAAAATTGGCGCCGGGAGGCACGTATAGCCGCCCATACTAAAATATGTTAATAAAAAGTTGGTAGGCAGTTCTTTTAGTTTCAAAGTAAATTAATTTTTCCAATTTTTTTTATCTCAAAAACTGCGACTGACTGATTTTGATGTTAATAAAAATTTTGTTGCAAATATTATTCCTAATCTTAAATTGAAAACCGCGTTTCGCTAGCTACTGTAATTTAGGAGTTACGATTTTTTAAAATTTTTAACCCCCTTCCATACCCCCTTACCAACCCCCCACCACCACTAAAAACTAATAGCCAGATTTTCGGGTGCCACAGTATTTTTGTGCCAAATTTGGTTAAAATCGGTTTAGCGGTTTTTGAGTTATCGTGTTTTGACGGACAGACAGACAGACACCATGAAAATATTTTGTATTTAGGTCATTTATGACCCAAATAACTCATTTTGAGTGAAATTAAAAAAACTTTTTTTTGCCGATCTCAATAGCCTACCATACCTATTGGTATGGTCGGCTAAAAATGCACTATTTGGGTTCGGATATTTCTTAAACGCAAATACCATCGGAGAAAGGGTAGTCCTTAACTAAAAGTTATTACTATTAGTTGTATTTGGTATTATTTACCTGGAATGAATGTTTCTTAAGCATATGCTTAATAAGTATGAGCGTGTCCAATTTGGGTATTGAAGTGATGACTTTTGCTACATCCTCTTCAGTAACTTCTACCAACTGGCAGTTCTCTTCTTCCGATGGAAGAGGTTGAAGCCCGTTTTTGGTTACCCAAGGATGGTCCTAATAAAAACCAACATTCACATCAATCAAGCAAAATTTATTGTATACTTGCCTTAATTTCCGGTAATGTTATTCTTTTCGAAGGATCTTTTTCCAACATCCGTGTGATTAACTCCTTTAAATCACAGGATATTGGTGGGTTTGGAGAAAAATCTACTTGCTGATGACGGATCTTACTATAGAGACCTATAATATTGTCATCGTGGAAAGGCACATGTCCATATACAAAAGCGTATAGAGTAACACCCATAGCCCATATATCTGTGCACTATAAGAAGAAATAAGAAATGATATTGTTATTAATCTCTATTATAAAAGAGCCTAAACATCATAGCCTATATTGATTAGACAGCCAGTCGACTTTGCTAGTTTTTGTAGACTTTTATAGTCTAAGAGTTGGCAACGTTTTTGATAGAGAATTTTTTGAAAGCTGTTTTTTAATACATCTTTTGCTGTGCGTTCACTACTGCGCATCACATCTGTACAGGGTGTCCCATTTTCGTGTGTTATATGAGATTTCCCGTTTATGAGTAGAGATACAATAATGCGGTTTTCACATTACTTTGCTACTTTTTTATGAAACTAAATATACACATAGGTTTGTCCTAGCCTTCTTAGTTCCTGAAAAATAGGGTGCAGGGCGAATTTGAGATTGATGCATATTTCGATTCCCCTCGTATCTCGATTAACTCATAACTTATCGAAAAGGCTAAGAAAGTGTCCCGTAGAGTATTTTAATAAACAATGTAAAAAAATTATTGTTATTGGTCATTCCACACTAGTTGCTATATATGTGTGATTTTATTGCACAAGTGCATCTAAAATATCAATATCTCTGATTGACGGCTTATTATCTAAAAGCTGCACATGCTCATGCTTCATAGTTTCATAATTCATAGTTTTGTTAAAAAAACACGATGGAAAGCAAAATTATTTGGTTAAATTAAATAAAATAATAATACTCTTTTAAACTAGGTTGATTTATGTTAAAAAGTTAAATAATGCATTTTTACTTTATTTATGAAAATAAGTATAGAGTATATCATACTTTTAGAAAGCTCATAATAAGACACATAAAATGGAAATATAATATACGGAGTGTCCTATTTAAAAAAAAAGCGTAAGGTTGCGTCATATTTCGAAAATGATAGCTCCCAGTGAAAAACTAGTTACGCCACTGGATTCTACGTGAAAAACGGGACACATTTTCACATTTTCGATAAGTTATAAGATAATCGAGATACGAGGGGAGTCGAAATATGCATCAATCTCAAATTCGGCCTGTATTTCAGGTACTAAGAAGGCTAGAACAAACCTACTTGTAGTATAGTTAGTTTCATAAAAAAGTAACAAAGTAATGTGAAAACCCTGCATCATTGTATCTACTCATAAACGGGAAGTCACACCCATAAAACAGACGAAAATGGGATACCCTGTACAGATGTGGTGCGCAGTGGTGAACGCAACATCTACCGGCAGGCAGACGGTTCGCACTCTGATCAGGAGAGCATAGCAAAAGATATAAAACTAGCTTTATAAGAATCAGCTTTCTTAAAAGTGTTTTCTTGGTTTCTACACCTAATACATTTTGTTTAATAGAATCGGGAAATTCCTTCATTGATTGAAGTGAAATATGTTTCAGGTGTGTTAAATTTATTGTAAAAATTACTTATTGAATCACGATTCTAGAGAGAATGATAAAGTGCATATTGAAGTTTGAGTTTAAGCATACCTTTCCACTAAATCCTGAAGATCGTTCCTCTCCAAGAGCTTCCGGAGGCGTAAAGGCAGGCGTTCCAGCAGAATTGGACAGAAACGCGTCACTTCCGTGAAATTCATTACATACTCCGAAGTCGGTTATCTGCACTCGATCTTGATCATTTAAAAGAAGATTTGCAGGTTTGATGTCACGGTGGATTATTCTTTGGAAATGTACTGAAAAATATATAATATTTAGACAAATAATTCTTGGACATAAAATACATAATACTCTTAAATGTATTATTATAATACCAAGAATACAGGGTGTATCAAAATACATGTGCCATATCTCGCGGAGAGGTTCCTCAAGTAAAAATAAGATTTATTTTTTATATCAAAATAGATCCTATTCTGATTTGTTTTATTGCTACAGGGGGTTAAAGTCTTTTTTTCTATTTATTATAATTTTCTTCTAAGTGCTTTTGCGAACTATATATATCACTGAAATCCTTTTCTAAAAAAAATATGTGCGTTACTGACTTTTTTCTCTTTTTACCAAAATTGTATAGGTCGTTTAATATCGATTAAAAGTTGAATATTGATATTTTCTCGATTTCCCTCTCCTTGATTAAAAATTAATGAAATAAACGCAATTTTATAATAATAATTAATAAATTAAAATACAAAAATAAACTTATTAAATTATTTATTTAATCCATTTAATATAACAATTGATAAAACCGATATTCAGTGTAACCTACAGCAAATTTAAAAATACAATAATGGAATTTAAAATTATTAAGAAAAACCTATTTTTTATAAGTTTTAACCCCGGTAACTTAAAAACTATGTATTTCTGAATCCATGTTTATAGAATTTTTTTTTCATATTTTTCGACAAATCAATGAGTACTTATTTAAAACCTTGGTCAGTTAATGACAATAAAAAAAATAAAGGTTGCTATTATTAGTCTTGGATTAAGGTAAATTAATAAAATTGTGTTTATCTCATCAAGGAGTCTAAAATCCACAAAATATCAAGAGACAACGTTTAATCGGCGTTTAATATCCTGCACAACTGTGCTAACACGAGAAAAAAAGTCAGTGGCGCACAGGTCGTTATAAAAAAAGTTTCAATTCAAGTGATAACCTATATGCACGCCCCTGGTGAATCTGTCGATACTTTTTTAGTATTAAAATATGTCACACATAATAACTTTTACCCTCAAAATTCCACTCGAATAGCTAAAAGAACTTGGAAGACTTTAACCCCCTGTAGCAATTCTCAGAGCAAATCTCCTACTTTATACACACTTTCCAGGTAGCATACCTATTGATACTTATGTAGCTCCCACTGAACCCCACAATCCTTGCAGGGAAGATTGGGAAGTGGCCAAGCTAGTAATAACAGAACAAAAGCTGAAATGGGCGATCGACACCTTTCAGCCCTATAAAGCAGCAGGAGTGGATGGGATCTTTCCTGCCCTCTAAAGGAGGGTCAGCAAATAGCTACTCACCATCTACTAAGCATTACAAGAAGCAGTCTAGCGATGGGATATATACCAACCACATGGAGAAGAGCAAAAGTAATCTTCATACCCAAAATAGGCAAAACTGACTGGACAAATCCCAAGTCATTTAGGCCTATTTGTCTCACATCGTTCATACTAAAAACGCTGGAGAAAGTAGTTGACAACCATATTGGAGAAAATCATCTAAAGGTTAAACCACTGCATGATAGTCAGCATGCATATAGAACGGGCAGATCCACAGAAACTGCTCTGTACCAATTAACGGAGCTAATACAGACAAGTCTGGATAGCAAAGAAACAGCAATTTGTGCCTTCTTGGATATTGCGGGGGCGTTTGACAATATACCACATAAGGTGGTCAGGCGATCTCTAGAAACAAGAGGGGTGAACAGAACTATTATTCGCTGGTTTTGGGAAATGCTGTCAACACGAACAGCAGAGGCTCAGATGGGCACCAAAACTGTAGCTGTTAAAACAACGCAAGGAACTCCACAAGGTGGAGTAACCTCCCCTTTGCTGTGGAGCTTGGTGGTGGATGAACTACTAGATGAATTAACTCTAGCGGGAATACACTGCATTGGGTATGCAGATGACATAGTCATGATCGCTCGGGGGAAACATGAAGGCACCTTGTGTGATATTATCCAAAGAGGACTCCGTATCACTGAGAGATGGTGTAGGACTGTCGGGCTGAGTATCAACTCAGACAAAACCGCGATAGTGCCATTCACCAGAAGGCGAAGTCTGAAAAACTTGAAAAGAATCCAACTAGATGGAAAGGAAATACTGCCAACACAGGAAGTTAAATACCTGGGAATAACCCTGGACAGTAAACTCCTGTGGAACAGGCATATTAAGAACACTACCAGCAAAGCCATAAAGGCTCTCATGATATGCAGAAGACTGGCCGGAAATAGATGGGGCTGCTCCCCTAACATTTTGCGCTGGATGTATACCATGATAGTAAGACCCATGATTACTTATGGAGCAGTTGCCTGGTACACAAAACTAGAGCAACGGACGGCAAGGCTAAACCTATGCAAAGTCCAGAGACTAGCATGTGTTTGCATCACAGGAGCCATGAGAACCTGTCCAACAGCAGCAATGGAGGTCATTCTAGATCTAACACCACTGCACATTGTCATTGGTAGATATGCCAATGCGACAATGATTAGAATGGTCACTAACGGAATTAGAACTGAGACGACAACCATTCGTGCCATGAATTTTGGTACGACTGATATTGGAGATGGAGAACTACCCTCTATAAAACCGTCCCAGATACTGGCTTTTGTCAAAGCCCTGGGACTGTATGATGAGTTATGATTCAAGAAAGGGGGACACAATGGATCTGTAAGGTCGAAGTGATTAACGCCCCTCCCACTCATTCTAAATTCTAAAAAAGAAACCCTGTAGCAACGAAACAAGGCAGAATCGGACCTATGTTCATATAAGGAATAAATCTTATTTTACATAAGGAATTTCCCTACGAGAGATGGCACATGTTTTTTGAAACACCATGTATATTAAAAATCAGTTATCGTTTAAGAAAAATGCTCATATTATATTAAAATGAACATTTATTTCAATAGTATAGATATAGCGAGTTATAAAAAAGTTTTGTATTTGAGTGAGCATGCTTTGGTAATCATCGTATGTAGTAACTCCTATGTGAAATTAAAATGATACTTCAATGGTTTTGATAAAGTTTCTTTATAACTATAATTTTTATAACGATATGATCGAATAGTCGTACCTATGATTATAATTTAGTATACTTACAGTACTCAATTCCTAGCACAACATCTCTAAAATAGTTCCAGGCCTTTTCTTCATCCAGAGGTTGATCTGTGGGAACTTCGAGCACTTGACCTCTATCAAGAAGTTCGAAGGCAAGATATAAATGATCCTCGTCCGGATCATCTAGAACCTAAAATTTTACAAATTATTATCTTCCTTGCATAACATTAAATAATCTTTACAATTACAACAACCTTTTAGTTCAAAAAACGGCAATTCTCTAACTTTTTAATTTTTAGCAACCCTACAGATTTATCATGATCTACATGAATAATACGTCATGAAAGAACAATTGATATTTGAATATTTTACAAGTAGTTTAAAAATTTATCTGAGAGTTAAAGTAGTATAATAAATTAAAAATTATCTCTCCATGTCCTACTCTCTGCTCTTCAAATTCTACCTAAATGGTAGAGTTTAGAGTCAGAGTAAGTGAGGATATATCTGCAAATTATAACAAATTCAGGTATTCAACAAGGTAGTGTCCTATAGGACCTCTACTCTATATCCTTTATACAACAAGTTTTATGGCACCACAATTATGGCTGACAAAAATCCCGAAACAGCATTTTAACGTAATAGACGCATGGTTATGTGATTGGAAAAAAATAACAAGATTAAAAGATTGTGAGGTTTTGAGCCTCCTACCCCTCGTTAGAGGTTTTGCCATTAAAAAAAAAATAATACATCAAAATCGGCCCAAGTAACATAATATTTTCTTTTGGATAGAAAACAATGATACTTGAAAGTACTCACTGGACAAAAATATATTTTTGAACAATTGTTAAAGGTTTTTATCGGTGTTTTACTTTATAGTAAGTAAAAACTTTGTTTTATCGTATACATTTCTTTTAAATGAAATGATATAATAACATAATATTTTAAATATATCAAATGCTTTGCATAAAGGCCACCAATGATACCCCTGTCCAAGCACAGATTCTTCGCAAAAACAAGTAATATAAAACTTAAAATGCAAACAAAGTAAAAACTCGTACTAACAGGTCGTACTTGTGGCCATGTAACCACTCTGTGTGTAGCCAAAAACCATTGTGGTGTTCACTGAAAAAAATATTGTTCATAATATTAATGAACATTGATTATTAACTGTTCTTTTTCATTATATTAATGATTTGTTAATCAGAGATCGATACCTGATTTATTAATAGTATGAATCTAATTTCATCAATATAATGAAAATCTGGTTATTAAATTAATGTAAGATTTTCATTAATCTAAGAACGCGTTCATTATTGTCCCAATGAATGCGTTCTTTGTTTTAATGCTGAAACTTTAATGAACACATATTCATTATATTAATGTACTAAATCATTTAAATCATTCATTAATAAGTTGTACATTGTGACAATGAACAATGTTATTAATACAAGGAACACACTACGTTATATTAATGTACGCGGTTATTAATATCAGGAATAAAATATTAGGACTTAAATGGTGGCCATCTTGATCGGTTACTTTGGCACTTTAATAACGTATGTGTGGTTGAGTTATTCAGTGAGGCTTTAGTTTCATTAGATCGGTAAGTGTTCTCTTCAATATTTTAAATATTTTAAATAAAAGTCCTATCGTATTGTTGTTAATTTGTTGTGTTGTCAAATCAAATTTCGCTGTGTGAGATCTCTGGTGTGGGTATTCATTAAAACAGCGGTTTCCAAATATGTTTCAGAAGATAAAAAACAAAAAGAAGAAAAACATAGTAACAAGTCGAGGCATGGAACTGATTATGGTAAATTCGAATGTTCTTTTAATATTTGGCGATTATACGGTATAACAAGAGTTATTAATAATGTCGACTTTTAATGTATAACAGTAATAAATAGGTTATGAAATTATTTCATTGTATTAATGATGCGGTTCATTAATATAAGGATTTAGGTTTTTAAATCTGTTCATTGTACCAATGAATGCGTTCTTCAAATTAATGAACACTGTTCATTGATTTAATGAACTTAATGTTCATAGAGTTAATGAATTACTTTTCATTGTGGCAATGAAATCGTTTATCGGCTCAAAATTAATGATTTAATTCATTATATTAATGAACTTTTTCATTATATTTATGTCGAATTTTGGTTCAGTGTTGTCCAATTGAATTTCAAGAGCCGAAAATTGACGTACCTATGTGATTTTTCAATTCTGAGATATTATGAATTATGATTACTTTAGAACCTTTTTTTGTGCGAAGTGTACAAGGTAGCTTAATAGCCATTGTAAAAACTCATCGCAACCTAGGATATTTTGAACGGGAAAGCGATAGTAATGGACCTTTGTGTAACTTAGGTGCTCTGAAGTTGGTGAGTTTTGTTGATGTAAATAATAACTCTTTATATAGGGTGCTACGAAATCTAGGTACGAGCATTGGTATCTCGGAAACCGAAATAGATACGAAGATAGTTAAATTGGGGCAATGTTGCTCCTTGGCATGTTCACCAAGATACCATCAAAAAAGTTTTAAACATTTCAAGAATTGCTGAGTTTTTTGGAAAAAAAGGATTTTTTTGAAAATTAATTTTATTTTTTTCTGTAGTTATTTTGCATAAAATCAAAAATTGCAAAAAATCAAATCAAAAAAACTAATTGCACATTCTCATAGCCATTTTATTAGGGCTATCTGATAGTATTTTTAGATTTTCAAATTAGCTGATAATTTGTGAGATACAGAGGCCAAGTTAATTTTTTTAAATACGGACCTGCATTTTTTATTCCAGATTTTGAAAAAACTCCTAACCTAACCAAACCAAAACTCCTGAGTTCAATGATATGCCACACATATTTTTTTTTGTTTTGGGTACCTTTATAATAACAAAACTATTTAATTGTTATATAAAATAATTCCGAATTAATTATTTAAAATAAAAGTCCGACTCTGTTTTTTTAATTTATTTAATCTGATTATATTCATCGCAACAATATTGATTAGCGCTAATTAATATTGAATGAGGAAACTCAAGCCAATTGAAATCCAGGTCAGCAATTTAATGATATTATATTTAACTTTTTTTATTGTGAATTTGAAATCTCAGTGTACGATCTAATAATATGCACAATATTAATTTTAGTTATTATAAATAAATCAACTTCTACAAACTAGTTTTTAATTCTCTACATGTTCCAAAGGGTTACCACCCTCCATAATGCACACATTTATTTTTCGTTCAATCTTATTTATAGCTCTTTGAACAAATCTTCTTATACTTCCGAATGCATTTGTACTCTTTAATTGTTTTTTATTACTCGTTAATTGTTTTTGTACTCTTAATGTTGAAATATATTGATTTCATTTTTACAAGTGACGTCAAGTAATGCGACAGGTCCAGGAACCTCGCTAGCCATTATACTGCTCTACCATTTCCAATCCATCTTCCGGGGAAACTATTTGATTGGTTATATTACATTAAATTTATATTATTTAAAAATTGTGTTCAAATGTCCAAAACAAAAAAAGTGTCAAGTGTGGCATGTTTTTTGAGAGACCGAGTTTTTTGGAAACCTAAAATAAAAAATGCAGGTCCGTATTAAAAAAAAAGTTTAATTTAGTTCCTAATAAAGTGGCAATGAGAATGTGCATTTAGTTTTTTGATTTTCTAAAAAGTAACGACAGGAAAAAATAAAATTGATTTTCAAAAAAATCATTTTTTTTTTCAAAAAACTCAGCGATCCTTGAAATTTTTAAAACTTTTTTGATGGAATCTTGGTGAAAAACCAAGGAGCAACTTTGCCCCAATTTAATCATCTTCGTATCTATTACGGTTTCCGAGATACCAATGCTCGTACCTCGAATTTGTAGCACCCTGTATATTTATAATTAATTTATTTTTGTTTTCTAAAATATTTTGATTAAAGTTGAAAATATCGTCACCCTAGAATTAGGTTGTTTTATACCCACTTTTCGGGTAAAATGAGTTACATACACCATTTTTTTATGCAGAATTAGCTTGTTCTATTTCAACAAAAACAATATAGCCAAATTCACAAATAAAGAAAAAAAATCTAATATTTTGTACTATATCCATATTCATTTGAAAGTCACGAAACCATATAATGGCCTACATCCAAAAATCACTATTTAAGGCTACAGTAAAAAAAAAATAGAATTATCGTGTTCTTTATCCTAAGAAGTGGATATGGAACGAAAATACCAGATCAAAAAATATGTTACTATGCATAAAAATTAGATTGTTCTATATCCATTTATTCTCGATCTCTTTCTCTCTAACATACAATGGATGTATCTGTTTTATTTAACTTTAAGGCTTTTGTTTTAAGTGGGTGAAATTGCACCACTAAACGTTCGTTTGTCAAATAGACGGTAAATCGGTTCGTTTGAAAAGCACTGATTGCCTGATTTGTTAGCAAATTCGAATGTTTCACACTTTGCAATTTCGTGAAACCAGCCCCAAGCAGCATTTGGACGTCGGGACAACGTTGTGTCACGCGACCAAACGTCGGGGCGCAACGTCGGCACAACATCGTGCCAACCCTAGTCTGCACTAGTTTGGAGAATAATTTTTGTGTCGAAACGACGTTGGATACCGACGTTGGCTAGAAGTCTAATTTAGTACAAACTGCAACGTTGTTTAAAATCCTAATTCACAGAAATACAAAACTAATATGGCGTCTAAGTCGCGTTTTATCCTAAATTGGGATAATTATAGTAAGAATATTATTTTTATGATTTAGTTAGAGACATATGTCAGATGGCAGTGAAGGAAAACAAAACAAAAGTATTTAAGTGTGGAGGATGTTTGAAGATCATAATTATTGAAACACTTTAACCGACTCTGTAACTCGTTACCCAAGGCAAAAAAGTTAAACGCAAACAACTTTATTGATAAATGTATTGTTTCTACTTTGAAAAATACTAATGGGCCTTAAAATTAAAGAAGTTTAAAAATTTTCTTGAATTTTTTTTTTAGTAAAATGAGAATAATTTATTCGTAGTCGAAAAAATTGTTTCCGCGTGTTTTTTAGGGTCAAATATTTCAAGTTAATGTATTCAAAAAGCAGGAATTGCTATTTTAGGAACGAAACATTTTCTTATTTAACAACATGGCGGCTTTCACTTTGTTGTTTTGGAGATTAAGATGGAGTAGTTCGAGTAGTCGC